GAGAGAGAGAGAGAGAGAGAGAGAGAGTTAGGGTTAGAGTGTGTGTGTGTCATTTATGACGCTAATTTGCGCATTTCACTCGTTTTCCTTTGTTCATATGGGTGCTAGTTCATTTCCCGTACAATTTTGCATACACATTTCGCATTGCATTTTGCAAATCCTTCTCGGAAGGAGTCAAAAAATTTGATTTGCTGTTTAAAGGTTGATGCGAAATGACCACAGGCAGAAAGAAAAACGGATCGAATTGCACCCTTTTAGCGTTCCATCTGCTGGTCCTGCAACATTGTCACATTTCACCCATTTTGCACATTTATTTATTTTTTCTCTTAGTTCGGCAATCCCAATCCGAATCAAAACACAAAACGCTTTGGCTGCCTTCAGATGCATGTTTTTGTTGCACTCGAAAAATAGCCAATTGTTGAAACTTTTAACTTGGATGAGGAATGGTCACTATTGCAAATAGACGTTTTATTTGCATAACGATCACTTTGAGTTGTATATCGTGCGAATGTTTACGTTTTGAATGAAGAAAAGTGAAAAAAAAAACGGGCGAGAATGAGAAAATTCTCTGCTTGAGATAGAAAAAACGAGAAAAGTGAGAAAGAGAGGGAAAAAGGTAGAGGCAAATAGGTTGAATGGGTGAGAGAGTGATAGAAGAGAAGAAATGAAAAGAAAAAGAGAGAAGATATTGAAAAAAGAAAGAATGAGACGAATCTGTTAAAAAAGGCAAGGATTTGTGCTTGACAAACATTCAGAAATGTACAAATTCGAAGCCCTTGCCGCTACCTGAAAACTCTTTTGCATGCCATAAATGAAACTCGGAACAACATACTGAAAACTTTGTTTCTTCGACTCGAACGAGTCAAAAAGTCGAAGAAAAATCCTTTTCTGCTCTAGAAACATTAGGTAAAACAATGCATTGAATGAGGTTTGAACGAGACCATTGAAGATTCCGGGAAGTGCCGGCATAATAAACACTTTGAATGAGTTAATATTGTACCAATTTCGGTTATGATGACAAAGTTGCTTCGGAGAAAAGTTTCTCTATGAAATAAATGTTAGTGCTCTATTAGAGCACTGCTCTATCCAAGGGGACTTGAATTACATTTTTTTCCACATGTTTTTGAACTTTTCCATTCCAACGACAAAATCAATCGTTGTGAATCATAACTTTTGATTGCAATCACGACCAAATTACTAGCATGCTATTCCAATTGCAGTTGGACTTAAAATCGAAACATCATCAGTGATGCTACTCGATCTACCGCAAGCCTAATTTCATTGGCAAATCCTCCTTTCAAAACTCCTCATGCTGAGCGTGCCGTGATAAATTGATGATCGAATTCAAATTGAAATGGATCGGTCTGATATTTCGAATAAACAGGAAGGAAGGAATGTTCTGCCTCAGTCTGATCAACTCAACATGTTCTTCTTCGCTTTTACAGTTAAATTGAGATAACAAATCGTTGTGAGTCTTTCGGAATATTTACTGATTTCTCCGCTTTTGAACCTTTTGGTATATTTTGTAATCAAAGTGGATTCCATTGCCTATGATCTGTCTATGCGACATAATGAGTTTAAAACTCATCAATATTCCACGCTGATTATCGCACCACACACAACTTTCGGTCATTCGTTTCCCGTTTTTGATGACATTTTTTTGCATTGATTCTCGTAAGAATGGGAAGAAAGTCGACGTCTCAATTTCTAATGATGCTTTTCCGGTCCATGTTTTTAAACGGCTAATTGATGCTCGGCCAAATGTCTTCTATCGAACAAAATGTTTGGTTTACACATATGAAAACCGTAGTTCTTTTCTGAGGAAATCTTCATGTGTGAAAGTCGAAGCAGATGATTGATTGATTGATGACTTTATTTCGAATTTGTTTGGCATTTCTACCAAAGAAAGGATTTTTGTTTGCATCTTGCAACTTTCTTCTCGGAGAATATGGACTTGTGGCCGATTGTGCATCTTGACCAGAGATTAACGGATCCGCAATGAGACAGCGGGAAAGAACTCTTTGCACAAATTGCAATCGGATTTCTTTGGAAGTTCAATCAAAAGTCGAATTCTTTCAAAATTTCAATACAGAGTCGTGTGCTAAAAACAGCTGTCCGATCCATTCCAGTGGTCGATCAGTCGGCTTCGTGAGTTGAAGATTTTAATTCAAAAAACTCTATTTTGCAACTAATCAATGGGCACGCGATCGAAAAGTGGTAAAATGCATCTGCCCTTCGATGACTTGCGGTTTTTTGGCGATGGTCATTTCGATTACTCATTGAATTCATTTGACATGATAGATTTTGCCATTTAAACTCACACAAAGGGATTTAAAAATAATATAAATAGTCATAAATAACTGTTCTATCTAATTTGTTTCGAACTAAAGTTATAATTTTCCCTGAAAACACCTTATTTTTGTGGATGAAGTTTAAAAATTAATTCCAAGTCTAGTTCTTTCAGTATTTCTCGACTTTTCAACTAAATCGCACTAAACGAGTCATAGAGCGATTTGGTTGACATGTCGAGGAAAAGTGAAAAATTCCCCAAAAATATTTACCATTTCAGTCTTCATTTGTTTTGAATAAAACATTCAGAGATTACATACACAAAGTAATTGCTTCTCGGTAGCTTATTGTTGATCGTTCTGCTTTCAATTGATCTAAAAAAAAGGTGGAAAATAACAAAAACCTACTTATGCGGCTTACAAACGACTTAAGAATTGATTGCAATTTGTCAACTCATTTCTTTTCGCTTTAAGAAGCTGCTCATAGACAAAACTATCGGCAAAACCCAATTGTTACACAAAAAGTCAAGCAAATTGTTGCTTAACGAATATTTTATTGAATCGATTTAGACGATTGACGATAAGAGCTTTAATCTTTAGATTATTGGAGGATGTTTTCTTTGGTCGAACATCAGGATTGGATGAAAACAGAGAGGAAAATAACGTCTTTTGACTGCTACAGTTTCAATAGATCAAATATTGAGCAAGAAGAAGTTCTCCGTCTTACTGTATTTCGAATCGATCGATTGTTTTTCGGTATTAATCAGATACACCAATTTATGGTCCTCCCTGATAATATTGCCTTTAATTAAGTTTTTTTCATAGAATCGGACGATTTAGCTTGAATTGGACCAAAAGTTGGTCATAAAAGACATTGAGTTCATTAGTAAGTATATATCTGAAGTAAAAAGTCGTCAAGTAAGTAATTCATAGTTACACGCATTGAACAAGGGCTACAAACTACATGACTTTATGACAAATATCGAAGAAAGATAGAAGCGTTTGATGATTTATGAGGAGAAGTATTTGAGAAAATTGAGTCAAATTGCAGGAGTTTTCAAAAAAAATCCTTGAAAACTATTGAATTTATTCCGAAAATTTCATTGAAATAAAATCGTTACTAAAAGTCGATCTAAAGCGATGGCTTAGAACCTAAACCCAAAGGCAAATGTTTGGTCAGCCCAAAGCCGAAAAAAACATATCGAATAATCGAAAAAATGTGAAAGTTTTGATAAACAATGAAAAGAAAAACATCAAGACAAAACCAAAATTCCCTCAAACTTCACGCCTTTTCTTCTCGAGCAACTCTTTTCCGATGAAAAAAAAAAAATGTGAGCAACTCAACGCTGCATTTGATGCTGCAAAATAAAAAATCTCAAGTTGTCGATTCATAATCTCGATTAGCTGTGGCCAATATCAAAATTCTGGTTAAAAGAAAACGAGTGAGCAATCTGTTTTTCGAAGGTGTGATGATAAACAATCGAGAATTTAAAAGAAAATGAAACTTCCACCCAAAAGTGGCAATCAATCGCATAATAATGGAAAGATGAAAATGGAAGAGAAAGAACCAGAAAAAAGTGTCAAAAATTCTGCGAACGATTTAATATTTTTATTGAAACTCTTTCTTTTCACACATGTCATTTTTCTCCGTTTTTTTTTCTCCTTCGTTTCACTTTCGGTTCGATCGTTCGAAGCAAGCGATGGTTTTGTGTTCGTTTCGCAGAAGAAATTATTAAAATGCAGTGCAGATTAAAAAAAAATGTATTTGTTTGATTTTGAACCAGAGGTTTATTAAACAAAACTGTGCAAACAATTGCATTTGACACGATTTGCGTAGTGTAAAAATGTCACAAAATCCGAGAACAATACCGCAACGATTAACTGAACTGGCATCAAAAGAGTGGCAAAAAGAGTATGCCATCAATCGAATGTCAATTGTGAAGTGCACAGGCCATATATCACAAAAGGGTTACTGATTATTGCCGGTTTTTATCGATATTATTGCCCATTTCTTGTGTCAACCTTCACTCTTTTTTTTCTCTCTCTCTCTCTCTGTCTGCCTTTGTGTCAATCAACGGTTCCCACAGAAAACGGGAATTAAAAACGTTATTCTCTCACCTTTTGTACGAATCGGAATCCAAATAAGAAATGGCACGCATGAATAACTTGAATAGATAGTCGGTATAATAGAAATTGAAAGATTTTTCATGCTGCACCATGCAAAAGAATGCAAGGAAAATTTTCAAAATTACACTCGATTGGCTCGACGATACGTACAATAGAATTCAATTTAGATTCCAACTCAACGTTATGAGATCCAAGGGAATTTGTATGTCACACGAAATTTAAGGTATACAGAGGACACAAAAAAAGCAATCATAGACACACAATGCCCTTTGTCCAACCGGATTAGCAATATGTCCAGCCAATTGGTCATTTGTGTGTCCGTCTTTTTGCCATTTTTTATCTTCATCTAATTCGAATGCACGTGCAAAAACATCGACAACAAAGAAAACAATTTGGATTTGCATTTTTTTTTTCGATTTATTTATTAAACATGAAAATAATGATGAAAGAATGCTATTGGAATTTTGGATTCTCGTTTGAATGACAGCATTTTTTAATTATTTTATTCTTTTTTTGAATGTCAGACATGTGAAATGCACGTGCAAAGTAAATACCAACACAATTTGATGAAAGGAAACTGATTGGGTTCTGATGTTGACGAATTTCAAAAAATATTTAAAAAAAACATTTTATTTTGGTTTTTTCTTTTAATAGATGATTTTTGCATCGAAAAATCCAAATAAGATATTTTATGAGACCCATAGTTGTGGTTAAAGTTCCTCGTGAACAAATTGCTTGGACTTTGCCTGGATTTCTTGAACTTCTCGCTCAACATGTGCCCAGAACTCCATTGCCTTTTGGTTTGGATTTACACCCGGCATCAATCCATCGTTGGTTACATCGAGGAAATTCACTTGGTCGTCATCAATGGGCAAAAATCCGGCAATTGGCTCCTGTTGATAAGTTGGTTCTCTATAAAATATTTTCGAGAATACCAATTGACATTTTTTCAGTTTATTTTTTCCATCTTTCGCTTTTTCAATGTTTTTCTTTTATTGGAGTAAAATAAGTGGTCTTCGAAGCTATTTTCGAAGCATTTAGAACTATTCACATTTTTGGTAAATACTTCAAACTCCCACGATTACTTTCAACAATTGACTAGAAACCGTTAATTTGTTCATTTTGGATATACAATATCTTTGACATGGTTGTTGAATGTCATTCAATGCCACTAAGCTATCGACATCTCTCTCCGGCTATACGGCAAACAACAGAACCAACACTGAACATAAAAATGACATGTTCAATTGTGTTTGTTTCGTTAGTTTCAACTGTGCCGCTACGAGAGCTCACTTTTGGCGTTTCTTGTCGTTATTTTACATGTATTAGACGAGGATGATCTTTGATATATGAACCACAACGTTGCTGCAAGGCCAATATATTACAGGCGATCCTTGTGGCTGCGATAGTAACATCCTATGTGTTACAATATATTTTGCAACAGATTACAATCGGTGCTACAAGGATCGCCTGTAATGTATTGGTCTTGCAGCAACCGTCTGATATGAACGTAGAAAAATGAATTTGTATTCAGGGCATTAGATATGCTTACCCATACTTTGCGAAATTTGCGAACAATTTTGTAATATTTTCGACTGCTCGTAAGCTGATTTTCGATTGTTCATCATCTGGTGTGCTAAGAGCCTCATCGTAAAAAGGTTGCGCATTACGACAACTGTGGAAAATATTTTTCACGTAAAATTTGAGTATAACACAATTTAGTATAAGTGCAATAAATGATTTTTTGTATTTTCAGATTTGTTTTTATATGATAAATATTTTACTTTTCCATATTCACTCATATATGATAGATACGTAAAATGTTAATACTAAAAATAATTTTCTCCGGAAGAAAGGAAGGTCTCAAAAAGTAGCAATTTTAAAAAAAGGCTTAAAAATTGTATTTAATCAATGGATTACCGAAAAATGTAGCACAAATCATCTGCATGACCAGCTCCTGCAAAGCCTGGCCCACCACCATGCCATCGTTTGATTGCATTGAACTTTGAATCAACCGAAAATCTAGAGAAATTGTGAAATTTTTCTTTTTGAAAAAACGGAAAAATTCTTCTAAAAAGTTTCAAGCTTTTATCTATCAAACAAATTTTGGTAATAAAATGAAATACATTGAGATGATTTTTGAGGTCAGTTGAAAAAAAAATCAAAGTATCTTTATTTTGTTGGTCCAGATATTCGTTGTTCATTAACTTGGATGCATTTCAAGAGGATCAACTGTACCTATAATAAAATGTTTTGGCAGCTGACTTTTTAGCATGTAACTTTGCGCCTTTATCTACTCCATATGCAAAGAAAACGTCAGACAAAAGACTAATGTATGGTTTCAACGTTTGCACATCGATGGCTGCATCTTTAAAATAGAAATAACGAACTTCTGCTGCCAGTTTCTTATACTCCTACATATATTCAAAGGAAAATTGATTATTATTATTTAAATGAATTATCCATCATAAATTCAGACGATGTTTCATTCGTTTTTAAACGGCTGCGGCATAGAAGTTACTTTATAGAAATTACGAGGGGCAACGCGAAATACTTCGAACCAGTCCAAGTTAAGTACATATCTCTAAAAGTTTTTCAACGCAAAATGTGATACTCACCGTAGAATCAAATGGCAAGTCAGCTCCTCTGAACGGGAATGTTATGCTGAAATTACGATCAAATCCCTTCAAATCGTAGCAATCTTCGAATTTCTCATTGTAAAGCATCATAGATTCCTGCCAAAAGATATTTCAAAACAAATTTATTAAACTTGTTAAAGAGCCTAAACCAAATGGTAATTAAAATGTGTCGTAATTTCAAACCAATGCAATATTTGAATGCGAAACGAGACACAAATAAAACATCATTGCATCAAATCATTAGAATCAAATGAAACAATGTTATACAAAGCAATAACAGTTAACTGTATGAATACCGACCAGTGAACACAGTGCAAACATCGTGTCGACGTCAATGTTGGACTTATTGTAAATGGCTTTCGGATATTCAACGATGAATGGGTGTATTGCATCTCCACCTGAATGTCAAATTACAGTTAGAGAAGATTTTTTTTTTATATTTGGCTTGGTTAGATCAAATAATGTGGTTCGAAAACTCCCTTACGTTCCAGGATGGGTGCCCATGTTGTAACCGGAGTTTTTGTGAATAGTGAAGCAGCGCTTGCGTATTTGACAATTGATTCAGCGGGTACGGTTTTGAAAAAATTAATCAAGCTTTGCATAGAATCTTGTGGTTTGCCTAGATCTCGAGCAATTTCATGTGCAATGCTCCGGTGGCCATTTTTGCTTGCAAATCCCCAATCAGATTCGGCTGTTCCACTTAACAAAATGGCATTACGGAAGTATTTTCTCGATTCGCTAGACAATATTTGAACATGTGACAGCACCCCACCAGCACTTTCACCAAAAAGAGTGATACGTTTGTTGTCACCAGAAAATTGTTTGATATTTGCTTGGACCCACTTTAGTGCCAATTGTTGATCTTTCAAAGCCATGTTTCCGGAGTATTCGGGCGTTTCGAAGGAAATAAATCCGAAAATGCCCAAGCGATAGTTCAATGTAACCAAAATTACACGCTGTTCGATGAGAAAATCGGGGCCAAACATGTCATCATTGCCAGATCCCTCCGTAAATGCACCGCCGTGAATGTACACCAAAACGGCTAACTTTTCATCGGATTCAATATCAGCTGGAAAGTAGCGGAAAGGAATGCATTTTGAATATCCAATTTAGGAACATTAGAATTTTACTTTAGAACTTGAAGAGAGTTTCCATATAGAGCAATGAATGAACAGGCTAATATTAATCCATTTTTAGAAGTTATTTCAAGTTTGAACCAGTTTTGAATGTTTTGACCGAGATTTCTTTTGACACTGCTTAAACTTAAAACCTTCAATATTTCATATTGCTTTTAAATAGATTCAAAGTGATTTAAGCTCACTTGTAGCACGTGATATTGAACCTCATAGATAACGTAGTTTTAAATCAAAAATCAATTTAAACCACTCTGAGTCTACATAAAAAATATCTTCGTTTTGATGATAAAACAACGAAATTGACTAATTTGATAAGGTTTCGAGGTTGTGACTACACAGTATACAGACACTAATTGTTATCAATTGTCAATGATTCAGATAAGAATTATAATTTCTAACGTAAAAAATATCGTTGTTATCTCTAACATCTGTGCACAGTGTGCACTGTATACTACGCAGATACACTGACAGCTACACAGTAAATTGTCGTACCAATCAAATAGATAACGCATACAAAAGATAATAAAACAACGTAAGATAAACACAGCCAATATGTTCACTCATAGAAGTCTCAACGACCAAGCTTTTGGTTGCTCACCTGGCACATAAACATTCAAGAATAAGCAATTTTCACTTTGTTGCAGCGGATTTTCCGGAGCTAATAATGATATTTGTGTGCATGTGCTTCCAAATTCTGTAGCATTCAGTATTATTGGCGCCCATGATTTCACTGGTTCAGGTGCCTTTGGAATAGGGAACAAAAGAGATTAATTTAATGTATCAACAAAGTCGATAAATTGAATGAATAATTATATTTCAATTCAATGAACGAAATATGATGCATAAATTTGGGTTAGCATGCATCGATTTTTGACTAAATTACAATTTAACCATTTTCCTTTTAATTATAAGAAATGTTATAACTTATAACATCATTATTTACAATAATAATTTATTGGATGCAGTTCACTTTTGTGAAAGTCAGAAAAAGTGGAACAAAACTCACCTTGTATCTCAACTCTCCGATCGGATTTTCTGCATAGGGAATGCCTTTGAATGAGTCAAAATCCACTTTTTTTATCAATGTAGTATCGCGAACACCTCGTACTTTTCCATCTTTAGTTTCAACGATTTTGTACTCAGCACCTGCACTGCTCTTTACAAAACAGACAATGACAATGAAAATAAATGTGACAACGATAAAAATTGTGTTCACACCAAAATGAAACTTTTTCGACGATTTCATCGTGCCAAACAGATGTACTCGTTCTGTGGCCATGGTGCGACTAAAATTCAGATTTCATTTCTGACTGGTTTTGATGGGCACTTTTATTGCTTCACATTTCAAAAGAATGTTTATCAGTAAGTTAATTTCATTACAGCACATTCGAACGCCAAAATTCGGAGCAATGCACTCTTATCAAGCCAAAATTTCTTATTAGTCAAACCATCGCTATGAAAAAATTCATGATGTACTGGGAATTATTGAGAAAAATTCGTAATTGTTCAGTGAATAATGTCCAATGTTCAGTAAAAAGTCTGACGAATCTGACAAACCTATTCGCAATTTCACACCTCGTGCGATATGTGGCTGATTTGAAAATATTTGAATGCATCTCTTATCATTCTGTGAACAGAATGCGCGAAGAAGGAATAATTTAAAAAAAAAACAGAAGAAAAGTATGTTAAGATGGGAGCCTCATATATGTCTATTTATTCGGGATATTTGTCATAGATTATTATTATTATTAAACTCACTTCGAACTGCAGTTAGGTATGCCTAACGCTTATTCCAATTTAATCTGAGGGCATGAGCGCAATCAAGCTGACCATATCACACCACTGTTCTATACATTAATGTGTGATGAGCAAACCCGTACAAAAAACCGTTCTTATTTCCATTTTGTTTACATTTCATCCAATGGTCTGGTCAAAAATATCAGTCAATTTTTTTTTGTTCAAAATTTTGAAAAAAATGTGAATTTTGTTATTGATCATTAATGCGAAAAAAGGTTATCCTTTTCTCTTTTCCAATTCACAATTCCGTTTGTTCTTCTCATTTGACACTTGCATATGTGTTCGTTGTATATTTGTCTTTCAACATCTTCGCTGTGAATGTTTCTATCGTCCCGTTCTACTCAGAATGCATGGTCCGAATAGATTATGATAAGCATAGTAATGTTACTGTTGTTCAAATGGTTGCTTTGGCAGCATCTGTCGCAAAACTGCGAAAAAGGATGCATTATTATGATGTTTTTGTTATTGTTATCCGAAATTGTTCGAAACATGACCACAACCATCGGTCACAATGGCTACTCACTCAGCCAATGCAATTTCCACAATTCAATGCAAAATGACAAAATCAAATGACACCGGTCAATCGAATGACCCGAATGATATCTCTCAATCAAAACCGATTTATGGACGGAATTCAACTGAATGCACCCTTTGAAATACTGAAACATGAATTTCATCATTTGAGCTGTAAAATCAAAGCGTCGACAATTTGAACCAATACCGAGTGAAACACAGGAAATAAAAAGCGATGCAATCGATTGGCATATGTTCAATGAGATGCGTATTTTCTCATCTAAAGACTGTAAAATCTGGTCAATGCATAATCCTTCTCCTCGTGTTCTTCTTTCGAAAAAAAATCATTTTTAATAACGACCAAAAGATGAAAGGCCGATTTTCTCTCTTTTCATATCTACAGAGTTTTTTGTGGTTTTTTTTTGTTTCGCATTTTTTTCGGAGTTTCTTTCTTCGGTTGAAAAGAGTGTTTTGGTCCATCGAACAAAGAAAACAATACTAAAAAGTTGTATCTTTTGGCCAATTTTCGTGTAAAAACATCGATGCCATCTCTAGCCAGTGAATAAGAACAGGACACGAGATTTTCAGGTATGATTCGACGATTTGGCCAGCATATTTATCGTAGCAACTTACACATTGTTCCATCATAATGTTTCTGTCACCAAATCGAAACGGATTGCCTTTGCTTTGTTCTCCGTTTGTCTTTCTAATCGAAGCAAAAGTGATCCATTTTGCAAGCGCCGCTTACGACACATGCACACAATGGATCTGTAGGTTTCAATCAAGTTGGTATTGGGAGATTTGTCCGATAAAAAGAATCCCACCAACATATATTTTGAGCGACTGACATGAGCTCAGGTGTAATCAATTATGATCCATTAGATTTTCCACGAAATTGGATGAAAAAAAGAAAACAGATTGCATTTTCAGTGGAAAAAAACATCTTTGCGATTCTTATCAAGTGAATTGAACCTAACATTTTGGTTTGAATTAGTTGAAGTATGTTGTCATGATAGTTGTTGTGCATAAGACCGCAATTTGAGGAGAAAAAAAAACTTAGTAAGTTGGATTGAACTTATGTCATGGTTTCTATTTCAATTCTAAACAGTTGGACGATTTTAAAATTGGTGTTTTCAATTAAAATTTTAATTTTATTGGTTCAAAATTATTCAGGTATTTCAATAGCAGATTTATATCTCCATTGCATGTATTCAAAATTTTCTACAATAGTTTTGAAGCAAAAATAGAAATTTTTCCACCATATGTGTATAGGATGGTAAGCAACTACAGAATATACGTTTGGTTATGGTCGATATATCGCCAATTTTCAGTTGAATCAGAGATTGATTTCCAGAGGTTGGTTGCACATAAATTTATTTATATAAATTTCAAATATCAAATAAATTTATCCGATATTTTTCATGCGTCGTGTTGTTCTAACGCATTTGCCAGCTATTTATTGCTGGAATGAGATTTTCGTTTTGTTCATTTACCGTTATTTGTCAACAATTCTGCCACTGTGTCACTACATAGTATATATAGTCCATAAGAAGTGTGTAGAGACAATGCAAAAAGACGTGCAGATTTGTTTACAAACAACAAAAAATAAACAAAACAAAAATCTCATTCCTGCGATGAATAGCTGGCTGCCGTGCCAATACAACAGTCGATGTTTCGTTTATGTACTACGAATGCGTCAGAACAACACAACGCATGAAAAATATCGGATAAATTTATTTGATATTTGAAATTTATATAAATAAATTTATCTGCAACCAACCTCTGTTGATTTCAATCCAATTTGGAAACCACCATAACCACCTGACCATCCTATACACATATGGTGGAAAGTTCCTCTTTTGACTTTGAGGCTGGTAAATTTCGACGTTTGGCCCATTTTGATAAGGCGTGAATAATCCGGGATTTGATCAAATGTTGATGCCATTTTCAATTCTAATTATTTTACGTTGATGGTCTTGAACATCGTGTAATAGGTGAAACTGGCCTTCATTAGCTATGAATAGAAAATTAAAAATAATTTGAATTTTTTGTAAATCAAACAATGTGCTCAAATCAAAGCGCTTACTTTTGTAAAAGTGCCCAATTTCAAAACAATCATTCCAAACCCATGATAATTGAGTGAACGCTGTGCATTTTCAATGCTAAGCAAAAAATACATTTGCAAATCAATTGGCAGTTCATACCAGTTCGATTCGTATAAAGAGTATGCCATTTGAACGTAACTGTCCGTTGCCATTTTACCAAAGTAACAATAGGTGAAAATGTTCAAAATGCTAAACTCAACTCCAAGTGAAATTATATAGACATCAATGCCGGGATCTTTGAGTTCCTGAAATATTCATTTGGAGAATCTTTTTAAAATCCGAGCTGGTTTCGTTTCAAAAGATACATGTGATTGTTAATTCAACGCCACAGCTGAATTATTTAATAAAACGATGCAAAAGTTGATTACCAAATTTATTTGAAATAGAACACAAGCAATCGATAGCATAGCGCCAAATAGAATCACCATAACGAAAGCACTGAAGACAGACGTTGACTCACGAAACCAACTGAAATTAAGGAAATAAATTGAGATTCAACGATTGAAATTGATTCAAGTGTTTTTTTTTCAGAAGAGAAAATTTTGTAGAGTTAAGAAAATTAAGTGTCCAATAGTGTTCTAACAGTCAATTTATGTTCCTCGGGATAAATTTTTTTGATCAAAATACCAAAATTTCCAGCTAATTCAAAACCATGTCCCCACTTAAAATTTGTGATGAAAAACCAGAGAATATTGGCTTTAACTTCAAGTTTGACTGTGTTTTGAGCAAAAATTAACAATTTATTTCATGTTACTCCTCCGATTTTTATCCCTGGTATAAAAATAAATTACAAAATTTCGATATGACTGGAAATTGTTCATATTTATGACACCAATAAGAAGAGAAATAAAGTTTAACATCAATTTACAGCTCCATAAGTGATAATTATGCTGAAAATTTTGGTATTTTGACCAAAAAAAATTATCCGTATCATAAATTTATTCCGAAGAACATAAATTGACTGTAATAATACTTACTCTTTTACCGAAATATGAAAGCGAATCAGTTCACAAAGAATTTGCTTGTCATTTTCACGTTTTGATTGCGATTCATAATGAAGATTCGAACGGTTTAACGCCACTTTAGGTTGATCTAATTTACGAATCATATTCTGAAATCGCTGGAAAAATGCTTGGTGATGCAAACATACTGAGAAAAACAGTAGCATTACGGTGTTGTTGACGAATATGATTAGCTCGCAGGCAACATTGCTAAAACAGATCTCTGCAAAGTAACCAAAGGCTGTGTGCCGATTCCATGGCAATCTATTGACATGAAATATGTGCTACATCATTTCGTTATGACACAAAATACATTTTTATTTAGAAATAGCACAAAGCACATACGTTATTTTCAACGGTCTGAATGAATATTCGAAATTGACGACCTTATAGTGTTAGTAGCTCCAGAGAATTGAACCTAAAACAACTAAACTATTCGCAAATGAAACTCCACCAACTGAAAATTTAAAGCAAAGTTTCCAAAGCCATTCACTGATGTGGTTTGCTCGCATAAAAAAACCTAACGATTCGTCTTCTAAGACATTCGATTCAGAAGAAGGGAAAGTATTAATGAAAGTGAGTGAAATGAAGATTTTCTCTAATCAAAATTAAATCAATCGATTTTGACGAATTCAATTCAACATTTACTTGCGTTGTCACTATAAATTTTCTCCAAACTCACAAACAGTGCTGCAATTTTGTGTCGCGAGAGCAACACAATTAACACCAAGTACATTGTCACTGACCATGCGATGACTTGAGACACGGCGTACAAACATTTTTCAAAATCAATCGAAAAGTATTTGTAGGCAAAGGTTGCACTTGCTGCTATTTGACATGCTGTTACTACGAAAACGGTAAGGCTGAAGAGAATGCGAAACAATTTCTTGCGATTGCTCGATGAATCATCAACGGATACCACACAAAACCAAGACAGTACCTCCTGTGTTGTTGGCAGTGGCTTCATTTTTCGAAATTCACGTTTTGTCGATTGAAAGTTTTTATAGAGACTGAGCTCATGTACAACAGAATTTTTATTCTAATGTGACTAGCCTTGTAAGTTGAAAACGGTTTTCGGTTTAAATGTTTTGATTTCTCACTTATTCTCGACTTTTTCTTAATCAACGTCGATTTAAAGTTAAAAAATCAATAAAACGTGAAATATTTCGATTGTTTATTTTTCAATCGAAACGTACGTGTCGAAAAATGATCAAATGGAAACACATGAAAATTTGTCTTTATCACATTGAATAATTCAATGGAATTCGACATTTAATGCCACATTTTCTGAATTTGTTCGATCATTTCCAGGAATACACTGAATGTTTTGGATTAATTCGTAGTAGAATTCTTTGACGCACCATTCATGGGCGTCCTAAGGGCGTGCGGAAAAGTAAAATGATATAGTTTGTGTTTAAGAAGAATTTCCAACGAACGATATTCTTGGTAGAATTTCGATCGTTCGAGAAAGTGTACTGGCGAAAGTGTTTTTCAAAGAAGTCGAATGCCATGTTTCGAATACGGTATCGAATCACTCATAAATAATAGATTCATTTATTTGAGATGGTTAAAAGTTTGTATGTCACAAGTAGATCAAAAAAAAAACTACGTTGAATGCAAGTACATTAGATATGTAAACAGATAATTCGTATAGTCCATAAAATACACAACGCCTTAAAATAGGCAACTATCGAATTTATAGCAAACGGCTTTGGTTTATGGTAAAATTATTCCGTATGCTTTACATGGGGATAAACAGGAGTCACACTAGCCGTCTTTCAGCAGTTACTGTTCTCAAAAATTCATGACCCATGACATGCGTGTAAAAAGTTATCAAAAGAACACATGAAAATAATTTTATTCCACTTTCTCGTTTTGCCATTCGTTGGAACAATTCAACGAAATTCAATTTTTAACGCAAACATTTTCTCAATTTGTTGGATTATTTTCAGGAATGCGTTGAATGATTTGAATTTATTCGTAGCAGAGTTATGATATGATTTGTACCTAAGCTGAATATTCATGGTACGATGTGGGCTTTAGTGACATGATAATATACGTAGTTTTTAAATGTGGTAAATTTTTTTCATCAGAAAACTTTAATCGGGTGGATTCAGACAGAATATCAAAAAAATATAGAGGTCAAGAAATCGTCGAAGGTAGCTTTTATTCTAAATGCCTCAATTATGGTTTTTCTTCTTGTGTATCATATTAGGAATGTTTTATGATTTCTTATAAAAGATGTAAAAAAGGCAAATCTAGGGCAAAAATATTGAAATTATGATGTCTAGTTTTCTCTGTCCTTGTCATAGATATTGCACAATAACATTAAAAACAGTTACTCAATGACACTTTCTAATGGACGCTCAATGAAGCAGCGAACTTGTTGTCACACGCGTAGATTTTTGCATTTCGCTTCATTTAGCGATTCCTTAGTTGACGAACCATCGTCTATGCAGTCCATTCGATATATAACGTGAAATCCTAATATTCGTTAAGCCAAAGTATGATTTCGTTTGCGGCACCGCGCGTATGCAATTTACGTTAGATATAACGTCGTACTTTATCGTAGTGGCCATAGATCATTCAGCTTACCAAATATTAGGATTTCACGTTATATATTGAGTGGTCTGTGCATAGACGATGTTTCGCCAACTAACGAATCGTTAAATCAAGAGAAATGCTAAATATACGCGTGTGACGACAAGTCCGTTGCTTCATTTTAGTCTATTTTGAACACGTTTTTGTGCACATGACAGTGCACTTAATAGCGAGTCACCCGTGAAAAATGATAATTCTTTTTTAAATATGTGAGAATCTCTCGTATACTCTTCAATGCTCCTACGAATGATTCAAAATAAAAAAAGACATGTGTCTCATTTAGGTGTTCGCTCTAATACATTTTTTTCATTGATAACGAAAAATACATTGAAATAACCAAATGATCTTCTATGAAGTGTATTCTGAATGAAATGAACTTTACTTTCTATTTCGTTGTTTTTAGTTTGTTATGATGTGATTAGAAAATGTCGAAAAGATAAGGTGACGACCTCAAACTTTGATTGATGTGTTGAAAGAGATTCAATGCAATCTTGTGAACTGGTTGGGCCGATCAAATAAAAGCACTGATATTTTACAATCAGTCGAAGTAGAACTGTTATTCGATGTGCATCGCATTTTGAAGCATCTGAGTCAAAAACAAAAAGTGGTTATTTCATTTTGATCCTAGATTGTAAATTTTGGAAATTTAAGAAAGAAATGAAAAAGCATCGTCAGTTATAAAGCATTTAATTATTATTTTATTCTCGTGAAGGCTCGAAATAGTTCATTTTATACATTTTGCCAACATAAAACGAAACATATTAGATCAGAGTGAAAATGGTGGCGCAAGCAAGGTCATCGCATATAACAAACGTTCCACCAACATATTACGCCAAATCAGGCCGAGAAACAAAAGTGTAAGATATTGAAGATTCATTTTAGTTCAGTCCTAAAGGTTAATGATTGGAAATAAACTTGAATTTGAATCTCAATTTAAATTTGAAGATGGTTAGATTCAAAGCGTGACGACGATAATGTCGAAGATGGCTTGTGGCGCATTCACAATACGCTTTATGATTTGAGTGACTTCATAAATAAGCACCCTGGCGGACCAGATTGGCTGAAAATGACTAAAGGTCATGATATCACCGAAGCTTTTCTCTCACATCATTTAGAAACGGAAAAATTGCAGCCAATTTTGAATAAATATCAAGTGAAAGAAACAACTCGACCGAGGAATGTGAAGTTGACCTTTGACGAAAATGGATTTTACATGACTATTCGACGAAAAGTTGCCGCTAAATTACCGGAAATAAAGCAACGCACCAAAGTTTACTCGAAGGTTGTGTGAAACTATAGTACGGTACAATCAATTTCATTTCAATCATTTCACATTACTGTTTAAAGGTTGTTAATTGGCATTTCCAATTCGTTTTTTTTTTAGTTTTGACATTTTCATTATTTTGATTTCAATTTGTTTTCATCAGAACTTTAGCAATTTATTCATTGTTCATCAAATAAAAGAAAAAAATAGAATTGGAAAAAATACCTTAAATTCGTTCATAATATTCTGACACACAATGGGTTTGAGTTAATTAACATAACGTTTTTTTTTTTGATGAACTTCCAGTTCTACATTGACGGTTTATTTGCGCTGACTCTTGTAACGGCTATTCTCGCTCAACGCTTCCAAAGCATATCAATGGCGATTCTGTGCAGTTTATTCTTCACATGGACCGGTGTTTGTGCCCACAATTATCTACATCAACGCGATAATTACCGAATGAAATATTTTAATCTGATTTTCATGAGCTATCGCGATTGGCGTGTCAGTCATGCGTTATCACATCATTTGTATCCAAACTCATTACTCGACGTTGAGCTGAGCACACATGAACCGTTTATGAATTGGGTACCAAGCCCGACCGCAAAAAATCTTTTCCAACGCTATGCTTCTTATATCTATTCTACGCCATTTTATTGCCTCTTCTATTTGATTGAATTTGGCAAAAAGTAATTTTCTTTCGCACTTTTATTTTACTTTGTTTTCAGAAATTTGAATATTGGCTCAATTTGAGCTTAAGCTATGAAACTGTTTCTTTGAAAAATTAAGTATCATACTTAGTGTTTAACAAACCTCAATTTCAGACTGTATTACTCTACGACTCGTGGCTACAAAATGCACTTGGACGAATTTCTCCCATTCATAGTTCCAGTCATTATGTACTTATTCGGAGGAGACCACTCATTTGTGTCCGCTATGAAACTATTTCTAGTCATTACATTATCTGGCGGTTTCATCTTTGGAATTATTGGATGGAATGCTGGACACCATCACCCGGAAGTGGTTCATGATGGAGATGCTGTGCGGTAAGTGTAAGATACGTAACTGAATAGCAGAGAGCGCTATTTTGCTGCTGAGCACGTCTCTGCTGAATAAAGAATTCAATTTCGAAGAATGGTTCAATTTCCTTTCGAAAATGGCTAGGGTTATGGTCTCTTTGTAGCTAAAGAATTTCGACTCTTTTCAATTCTTCGATATATTTCATAAAATGTTAAAACAAAAAAAATATACTTTGCAGCAAAGGATATGATTGGGGTCTCTATTCCATCGATACAATAATGGATCGTCAAGAACTGCGTGGCAACACTTTTTTGGCCTTAGCCAATTTCGGTGATCACGCTTTGCATCATTTGTTCCCAACGCTTGACCATGGAATACTGCCGCAATTGTACGACATACTGTTTGAAACATTATTAGAGTTCGAAGCAGAGTGCCAGTGCTATCCATGGTTCTTTGAGACGATCAAAGGGCAATTCAAACAACTCTCAAGAGTTGAACCGATGACACTTGATTCTCACCAGAAATATTTGCTGAAAAATGGTAAAAAATCGAAATAAACAACAAAACAAATCAACGATAGAAATGAACAACATGGCCACAGATGACCAAATTAGTAGATAATTTCCAAAATCTATTTGCATTTTTTTTAAATTAAAAAATAAAAACACTCGATTACAGTTGTTGACATCAAAATGATGACTTTTTGATGTTTTTTGTTTGAATGTTTAATGATTGCACAACACCATTAGATTTATGATTGTGACGATGAATTAAATTAACGAATGTTCTGAATCAAAATGGAATTTTTGAACAAAAAATACTCCATAACCAAAGACGACTTTCAAAGCTGAGCCTCAATTTGAAACGGTGTGTATTGAAGAGACGATGATGGGCACCTTAACTCGGTCGATGTTGATTCTAACAATTATTTTCATCATATTTGATGGGAATTTGTTCTTTTTGAACGCTTTGGTAAAATGAAATTTTTTGCAATTTGTTGCAGTAGACGTTTGGTTTATATTATTTTTTAAATTGAAATAACAATTTTTTTCACAGAAAAATACGATTTTATTCGAGAGGATACAGTGTTTGCAGAATCAAAATGGATCGCTTGCTGATACAAAGTGTGATGTCAAACAAAATAGTAGAACTACTTTGAATGTCAACGTTGTCATAAACTTGACACAGCCCGTCAAAGATGTTTGGATCCACGGAGTGTTTTATTATAAATACAATTACTATCAAAAGTTTCCGATTGATTTATGGGAAAATCTGTGCGGATGGTTGAATGGCACCAGCAAATCCTATTTATTGGATTGGACGGCACGACAAGTGTTGAAATATTCTAATATGAATCATTCGTGTCCATTCTCAGGTGTTGTTATTGTGAATACAACAAGTTTACCAATTGTACGTCTTTTGGAATTCGAATCATTTCTTCCAGCCGGACGCTTTCGTATGGACCTAAACCTTACGGAAGGATATCAGAAAAAAGTTTTCTTTATGTTGAAATTTCACTTTTCCATTTCGGATAATCGAATTGAACGAGTTTAAATGACGAAAACTGTAAAAACAAAGTCGTTTTAAGGCTGGGATGGAACAAAAAAAAATCTCATCAAAAAAAAATTCCTTAAATGAGTTTGTGAAAAATTTCGCTTATAATTATATCTCATTGTTATTTTAAATATTCATTTGAGAAAATCATTATAGATAATAATTGGTTTGTAATGCGTTAATTCACGCATATTTCCCTTTTTCAAGTTCATATTGTAAATGACCCATTAATTTCGTGCGATATTTTAAATATCCATTAAAAACCAGTATTCCAATTTCCAGTAATTTAGTAATGCGGTCATAATTGTACAATGTTATTGTAATGATATAGTGCTTGAATAAAGATGACGCTAATGATTCAAGCCATTTCCTGTCAGAATATTCTTACAGGTGAATCGAATGCGTTGCGTTATTTTAATGCATCCATAGTACAAAGTTCATGTTTTCTTTGTGATTTGCCATGTCAAATTTGAGGCTGTGCCGAGCGAAACTTGGCAAACATAATGCGATTTAGCATTTCCGTAGGAAATGAGTACTGGAGGACTTTACCAGGTCGAATCCATCTATTCCACAAGATTCACTTCCAGCTTCTTTTGGTCTTGGCTAACTTCGACTATCGCGCTTTGCATCAGTGTTGTAAAATAGGCTCTACAATTGTCCACTTTTGCTTAAGCTAGCGTAAGCCAATACAAATTAGCCAGCTGTCAAGTGATGTTAAACGCTTGACCATGGAATACTGCCGAAATTATACGACACAATGTTTGAAACTTTATTAGAATTTGAAACGGAGTGCCAGTTTTATCCATGGTTCCCGATGGTTCTTTGAGACAATCAAAGGGCAATTCAAATAATAAACAAATAAAAAACAATAGAAACAAATAGCCAAATTGGCATATAATTTCCAAAATTTAACTGGAATTTTTCTGATTTAGATTTTGTAAATAAATTAATAGAGAATAATAGCAATTAATGACTAAAAACAGTCGATTTCTGTTGAAGATATGGAAATGATGGCTTTTTGATTTTTTTGCTTGAATGTTTGATGATTGCACAGCACCATTAGATTTATGATTATGATGATGAATTTAATTGACGGATGCTCTGAATTAAAATGGGCTTTCCGAATCAAAAGACTCCATAACCAAAAACGACTTCTTCCAAAGCTGAGCCTCAATTTGAAACGGTGTATATTGAAGAGACGATGATGGGCACCTTAACTCGGTCGATGTTGCTTCTAACATTAATTTTGACCACATTCGATGGAAATTTGTTCTTTTTGAATGCTTTGGTAAATGAAATTCTTTGCAATTTGTTACAGTATACCGTTTATTTTATATTATCTTTTTTCTTTGAAATAACAATTTTTTTCACAGAAAAATACGATTTTATTCGAGAAATGTGAGTGTTTGCAGAATCAAAATGGATCTTTTGCTGATACAAAGTGTGACGTCAAACGAAATAGTAGAACTACTTTGAATATCAACGTTGTCATAAAATTGACACGGCCCGTCAAAGATATTTGGATCCACGGAGTGTTTTATTATAAGTACAAGTACAATCAATATCACTATCAAAAGTTTCCGATTGATTTATGGGAAAATCTGTGCGGATGGTTGAATGGCACCAGCAAATCCTATCTATTAGAATGGACGGCACGAAATATGTTGAAATATACCAATATGAATCATTCGTGTCCATACTCAGGCACCATGATTGCGAAAGCAAATAATTTTCCAATTGCACGTTTTTTTGAATTCGAATCAATTCTTCCAGCCGGACGCTTTCGTGTGGACGTAAACCTTACCGAAGGATATCATAAAGGAGAAGTTTTCTTTATGGCAAAATTATACTTTTCCATTTCGGATAATAGAGTTGAGCGATTTTAAATGACTTTGCAACTGCAAAAAGAAGTCATTTTTGGCTCGAATGAAACCTCTCCAATTTTTTTTTTTTCAAAGCCAATGAGTTGTTTGTTGAACATTTAGGTTGTAATCACATCTCATTATAATTTTAAATATTCGTTTGCGAAAATCACCATTAATAATTTGTTTGTAGTGCGTTAATTCACGCACATTTCGCCCTTTTTCAAGTTCATCGTAAACCATCCAAATTGTAACATGGTCTAAATTGTAACAATTGAACAAATAGACAAATTTTCTGCAAAATTTTGAAGGGTAACTGTTGTTTTTTATATCATAGTATTTGAGAAGAACACGAAAAAAACTTCCCATGTGAATGTATGACTCATTTGTTTTTTTTTTTAGAAACATGGTTTATTTTGAGACTACACACTCAATATTATAGCGACATCTATTATTAAAATAGCTTGTAGTAAATGCATTTATAGCATTTCCCTGTAGTTGCGATGTTTCCTATTAAGTTCCCTTGTAGTACTGACACATTCATGTTTGACACTTGTTAACTACATACCACAGGGGAATTTAATTGGTAACATCGCAACTACAGTGAAATGCTATGAATGCGTTTACTACAAGCTATTTTAATAATAGATGTCGCTATAATATTGAGTGTGTATGTTACAATTTGGATGGTTTACAATATTGTAAATTACCCATTAATTTCGTGCGATATTTTAAATAGCCACTCAAAACAAACATTCCAATTTCCAAATGGTGGCAATAAAATTCAGTTATTTGTTCAATTATAATTACAATATGTTGTTGATGATATAGTGCTTGAATAAAAACGACGCTAATGATTCAAGCCATTTCCTGTCCTGTTATTTGGATTCGATTGATCAAAGTATGTAGTAATTACTAGTGAAGATCATTTACACCTCTCTGAAAATCCCATCATCTATATAAGTACTCCATTATCTAGATAATTGTAAAGCTACAATTAAACCATGTTTAATGTAAATGAAACGATCAAAATATATAACTTCTGAAATGAGATTTATCGACGTAGGTTTGAAAATAAATTCTAAATACATATTTAAATGGGTATCAAATGCTCTAGAATGTCACACTTTCCTAGGAATTTGTGGATTAACGTTGTTTGGAGTTGAAGTTTTCACGTACTCTACTTTTTTGCGTCATTGAATTGGGTGAAACTTTTCATTTTTTAACATTTCTTCAACATTTTAGGTTCTCAATAAATTGTAGATCATCAGGCTTAGAGTTCAACTGATACAAAATTGACTCAAAGATGTCCATTGTCAAAGTACTATGTTTGGTAACTGTCATTTTGACGAATGCGTTCCATTATACCATTTCGCTAAATCTGGTAACAGAAATATTTATAATGCCAAATAATTTTTTCAAAAAGTCAAACAATCACCTAGAATTAGTTCATTCTTCACGATTCTTTTTCTGTTTTCCATTTCAATTTAATTTCATCTGCAGAAAAATCAAATTTTATTCGAGCGATTTGAGTGTATTTCGCACCCGTTAAATCGAATCATAACAATGGAGTGTGATGTGCGCCGAATTAGTCAACAAGATATGAAAATATACATTCGATTCAATTTCACTGAACCAATGAATACCATTTGGATCCATGGGATCTTTTACTACAAGTACATTTCGTATCAGAAGTTTCCGATTGATTTGTGGGAAGGTATGAAACAACAATTTCCAAATATAAATTGATAGAAAATTTTCAAAATTTCTATTTTGTTGGAAAAGATTATTGTGCATGGGTACGAGGCGAAAAGCCTACTTATTTTCTCAAATGGACCGCTGAAAATGTACGAAACTATTCAAATATGAACCATCCATGCCCGTATTCTGGTACCGCTTGGATTGATGTAAAACGAATGCCCTTAAATCGTCTCATCGTATTGGATCAATTGATGCCATCGGGTCGATATCGAGTTGACCTTAATCTCACTAGAGGATACAAAGATCAAGCATTGATTATGACTAGATTCTACTTCGGCATTTCAGATACTCGTGTTGAACAATTTTAATACATGCACTTTGCAGAAGTTTTTCCATAGAAACAAAAGGTATTCCCGCATCTAAATTCAAAATAATGTCTTAACGTGCTTCTTATGAGAATGAATATTATAATAAAACTACCTGGTTTTTTTCATTTTGGGTAAATCAATTATTCTGGATCAATTTGAGCTTGATAATCCAATTCGAGCTTGGTTATCATTCATCATTATCAATTATTATGTATGCAATAATTACGATGATGCCCCTTCATTTTTGCTATTAACAAAGAAACCAGATTAATACTTGCCATCGAAAAAGAATGAACACATTAAGAATAAGAAAAAAATGTCTATCATGAAATTCGAACCGTTGCCCACTCATTTGCCAAGCGCATTCGCTACCAATTTAGCTGTTTGTGATTTATTTCAACTGGCGCTGTTGTACCCTTTGAATGTGGCAATTCATTGTACACACTTTGTTTGTTTGCGTTCATTGTGTGTGATCACGATGGTGTGCGGAAACACGATTGTGCATGAAACATTCAGTGTGATGACAACCGATTGTCAAAAAATGAACACAAAATCAGAAATCGTTGCAAATTGTATCGTATAATAGCCGAAGAAGGCTAAACAACAAATTCAATTAGCCTTTTTTCGTGTTGCAAAGATGATTCGAGATGAATGTTGTTTGAATTCAACATTTTACCTCCAATGAAAAAATTACTTCGGAAATTTGTTATTTTGCCGTACTACTTCTGACGGTTTGCCTACTTCGATTTGTGAGAGTGTCTATACTCCATGATACTATTCATGTGAGGGCGGATAATGTTTCGATAGAGAAGTTTATGACGTTTGAAAGTCTTCTACCATCCGGACGCTTTCGAATGGATATATATCAATCTTACTGAAGGATACGGCACCGCTGCGTTCTTTACATCAAGAACATTTTTCTCTATTTCTAGAACAAGTTTAAGAATGTGTTTTTCGGAGAATGGTTGCAAATACACGCATGTCTTATTTTTGTTATTTTTTTGCTTCAGAATTTGTTTGAATAAACCATAACGATATTGCCAGAACAACATGAAGACAGCCAATGACATCTCTAAACCAACACTTTGATTCATTGAATATTTCGAGCTTGACTAGATTGTAATCAACTTAACGGTGACACTTACAGCTTTTCTGTATACACATCATAGACCGGAATTATGAAAATCACAATATTTTGACAAATGCATCAAATAACCTATGCAAAATATCAGTGTGCCTAGTGTACAGTTATACTTCACAGAGAAGCTGTTAGTCTTGCCGTAAAGTTGAATATATTCTAGTAAAGCCACACACGATTGATACAAGTTGCACGAAATATTCAATGATTCAATGAGTTTGTTTAGAGATGGCATTGATTACAATGTTGCAGGAGTCTTACATTTAAAATGTATTGCGGCACCATATCTATGGAATAAACATATCAAATTCAAAATATAAATAGAAGTGAATCACACGTTATCGGCTTTTTATTTTCGAATTATTGTCAAACTAAAAAAAAACTCCATGGGATCTGTCGAACTCAAGAAGAGCAAACAAAATGAAGCTCAAAAATTGTTGAGTCAAAATATTTGAACTTAATGAAAACAATTCGACAATTTTCCAAAGTCAAGGCTGGGTGTTCAATCAAAAACAAGACGGATTTTAATCAAACTATTTGCCGAATTTTCTTTCGCTACTAGAATGAAAAGAGTCATTATTTGCTTGCTGCAACTTTTCTTGGCAAACATCTCGAATTGAAATCATCGAATGAGGTTTTCATGACATATTTTGTAATGTCGAAATGATGTCATAAAATTACAAATGCCTCAAATGGTTTTGTTTTTTTTTTGTCATGCGTCAAAGCTTTCAATTCAATTATTTTGAAAGTTGCAGCAAGCAAATAATGTCTGTTTTCAGTTTGAAATTAAAGTTCCAACAAATCTACACTCATTTTTTACATGAAAAACCATTATTCAGGCGCATAAGATGGTGATTTACGTATTTGATAAGGCATAAAAAGTCGATTGAAAATGAACGCTCGAATTTTATCGATGCTATTCTATTTGAAGTATGGAAAAAGGATGATTTTGAACGATAAAAAAATGTTTACAATGACCAGTTTATGTATAATGCAATATTTTACGCATTTTCAGCCTTTTGAAGTTCTTCTAACAACGGGAACTTTTGAACCCACATACAAAATTGAGGTTCCAACTAATGACATTAAAATTGCGAAATTATGATTATAAAAGTGACGCTAATGGCGTAAGTGACTTGTTTACTGATTGCTGTTGTTTTTTTTTTTCAATTTGATAACTGGTTCATCAACAGGGATAGTATTTTTGCTGCTAAGCACACCTGAGTTGAGCTGAATTATTTCAACACATTCAATGCTTCAAGCTCCTGAGTCAGCAAATGATATATGTGCTTCTTAATCCATTTACCGGGCGCATAAATGCAGTAAAACCCGAATATTATACATTTTAAGTGCATCACATGAGCACGATCAATTTAAAGAACTGTATTTAATTACCGCCATTTTGACGAAATATGTTCAGAAATACGAAAGACGGCATAGGCAACGGCTACTCCAAATATGTGTTAGTTTATTCTTTCATACCAGCCGTGTACTACATGTACATTGGTAGACGCGCTCGTCTTTCTTTATGTGCACCACATGTTGACTATTTATGCTTGCCTAGAATGTCTATATATATATATTTATATTCTCAAACCAATCTCTGTAGAAAATAATGCGTAAGTTATTATTTAATGAATATAAATCAACGCAGTGAAATACTCATTACATATTATTTTTGTACGACTACCAATAATTATTCTAAATCTATTTCTAATTTGTTATTTGATAATCACTTACCAGAGTAGGAAATGTGAATTTGAATCCGATTTTCGAAGTTTGTATTTTTGTTTGTTCTGTAGTATTGCACAATGGATATTGTATCGCGAACCACGATTTTTCTCTTCATTTCATTCATTTTGTGTATTTTCGATTTTGACACAAATGCTGCGGTAAGAAAATGAAATCATCGACTGCAAAAAGAATTTTAGCTAAAGAATCAGATTTTTATTGAAAACAAGTAATTTTCACCCATTTAAAAAAACACGGTGATATTCGAACGATTCGATTGTTTCTCAGACGAAAATTTGGCTTTTTCAAAATGTGATATGAAACGAATCAGCCGGAATTATGCGAAAGTTTATGTAAACATAACTTTGAGGAAACCAGTCAAAGATGTATGGATCCATGGAGTGTTTTTCTATAAATATAATCAATACCAAAAGTTCCCAATTGATCTTTGGGAAAATGTGTGTGGATGGCTAAATAAAACTGCCAAATCTTATTTTCTCGATTGGACAGCCTCTGTTATACTGAAAGATTCCGATTTTAACCATTCTTGTCCATACTCAGGTACTATTCATGTGAAGGCAGATAATATTTCGCTAAGGAAGATTCTGATGATTGAAAGCCTTCTACCATCCGGACGCTTTCGAATGGATATGAATGTTACCGAAGGGTACGGTAATCCAGCATTTTTCACAGCAAGAACTTTTTTCTCTATTTCCGATCATAGAATAGAACAATTTTAAGAATGTGTTTTTTGGAGAATGGTTGCAAATACATGCATGTGTTATTTTTGTTATTTTTTGTTTGAATTTATATTTAATAAATGGAAGTGAATCACACGTTTTCGTCTTTTTTTGTAATGAATGTCGAACTAAAAAAGTGCACGGGATCTATTGAACGCAAGAAGAGCAAAACCTTTTACTACATACGCATTTAATTCACAATCGTTTCGAATTTAAATCAACTCATAGAATTACAAAATTACTTAATGGTTTTGTTTTTGTCATGCGTCAAAGTGTCCACATCTCAATTCAAAGTTTAAACATGAATTTGAATTTCATTCATTCACCATCTTTTTTGTTGTCAAAGATGAAAGAGAAATTGAATGGGATTCGAAGTAAGTTTTCGAGAATTGATCAAAAATTGGAAATATTTTCAATTTCTCAGTAAAATCGGTTGTTTTTAAAGCGTACCTACCATTTCCATTATATTTTGCACCATAACCAATTTTACGTCCATTTGTTGCAAGCTTCAATTTTAGCTTTTAAAAAGGCCGACCTTATATATATATATGTACATTTCGAGAATAAAAAACGATCAGTTTTATTGTTCTATTCATTTAGATTTAATCAAAGCACTGGTTCATTAGGAGATATTCAAATCGTTCAACAAATGAATGCAATTAAGAAAGTAGAAAAAATTGCGAATTAATACTAAAGCCTAATGTTCATTTTTCCATTGGTAAATTGTCATGTTTTCTAGTCTTATCTATCTGTATCTTGGTTCTTAATTTGTTCTGTATAGAATTTCACATTTTTATTCAACTGAACAATTCCGATTTACATCAGTTTCAAACCAAATCGAATCACATATTTTCTTACAATATTATCAAAAATTAGTTGAAGCCGAATCGATTCGTCTAAGTTATGTCCATTTTTCTTCCGATTGTGCAATAGAAAAGAGTTTTTCTTTCAATTGTCCAATTTGAAAAGTGGTAGATTTGATTTCGGTTTTACAACATCATATTAAGATTTTGATTTCCTACACCAATTTATAAAGAACAATTGATGTTATCGTCACGTTATTCAATTCTGCACTCTAAGTACAAGGGGATTCGTTTGCTCTAGCAATGATCCTTAAATGAATGGCATTCATTGAACACCATTTGTGTGTTGTACAAACAATTATTTACGATATCGAATTCTTCAAGGTAAAATTGAGAAACTTCAAATTCTAAGTCGACTTATTCATTTACAATACTCTACTACTCACGTAGTGTATCAAACCGGCTGCTTTTAGTATCAAATTCATAAATATTCATTTTAAATGGCAAATCACATAGAACTAACACTAATAACTGGAAATTTCTGTTTCTATCGTCATAAAAAATGATTCAAATTGTAAAAAGTTCGTAAACATATAGCTTTCAATTTATTTCGCTAAATTCCAATCAACGTAGTAATTCAGCTGCTTCGAAATTGAAGAACGTCAAGTGTCAAGGTGGGCTGGTGGAGATTGGAGAAAAACTCTAGTTTCGCTCGATCTAATGATAGTATGGACTCCTGAAATCGATGAAAAAATGAACCAAAATGTTTAGTATTTACTCATGAAAAACCGAAAATTCCACCTTCTCTCACTTACCGGGCATATTCATCGCATTGTGCACTGCAAAAGTATTGTCCGCCTGGCATTCCGCACGTAGCGCACCATTGTTTCTTCTTGATGTCGGTGATCATTCTTGCGTAGTGTTCGTACGCTTGATTCTTCATCGATTCGTTCTTGGCCTGTTGCTCTTTCATTTGGCAAATTAGCCGCTTGTTCTCTGCTGACAAATTGTCCAACGTTAAATTCAGTTTCGCGTTTCCGTCCATCAAATTCTTGTTCACATTGACCAAATGCGCATTTTTCGCACGCTCACTATTCAAACTGTTGGCTTGATCAAAGTTTGTCGTTTGAAGTTTGTTAATGGTTGCGTTCAAAAACATATTTTTCTTCATCAATGAACCCATTTGATCGTTGACATCGGCCAGTTTTGCCTGTGTCTTCGCCAAATCAGCGGCCGTAGCATCAAACTTCACTTTGAGGTCATTTACATCGTTCGCATTCTTGCGAGTTTGATTTTTCTTCGAATGATTTTCCGTGTAACTCTTGATGCTTGCCTCCAAATCCCGATTCTGATGACGCAAACCGGTAATCATTTGATCGTAGTTGCTTCGCTGTTTTTCAAGTTGTTCTGGCAACGATTGGTCATTCTGCGATTTGGTTGTGTTGAGACAATTGAATAGCGTATCGGACAGTGATAAGCGAACACTTTCAACCATTTTCTCCGTATCTTTCTCGACCGCTGCCTTGCAGAGGGCAACCATACCCACAGAACATCCTACATTTCGATTAAAAGCTTGATTCTTTTTCGGATTTGGCTTTGGCGGTGAAACTTTCATGGTCTTTTGATCAAAACCGTTCTGTTCTTTTGCTGAGCGAGCACTTTGTGATAACGTCTTGGTCAAGTCACGATCAATAGCAGCGATCAAATCATTGTTGGTCGAATTGTCTTGGCTTGGCTGTTTGGTCGATGCTGCTGATTTTCGCATTTTCGGCACTGTTGGTACTTTGAACACCGAGTAACTGGATGGATTTTGAGCCGACTTTGAATCGGGTTGCAATGTCATTGAATTGAATGGTCCCGAAGTTGCTTTCTTTCGATTCGCATCACTGGCCATTCTGGCACTTTTTGCTGATGGCCCTTCCAAGTTCAAACTCAAACTCATTCGTCGCTTCTTAGCAGCAGATTGAATGGCTTCAGTCGGAACTGTCGGATAAGACACGAATGAAAATAGAAAAATGGATTTTTTTTTATTGAGACCTTAAACATTTCATAGTAAAAGGTTCGAAATTCGATTCTTTGTTCCAAAGCTTGTACATCATCGTAACACTGCCATGATCTAAAAACTGCCTTACCTTTTGCCTTTGAAACTCGTGCCGTTGAATTGATCGCTTGAGATGGTAGACGATCCACTTGTACCGACTGTCGACGATATACCGTAGCTTTCTTCGGTTTTTCGGTCTTTTCCTCCTCCGCCACGAATGATTCATTCAAAATTGATGACATTCGCCGAGTCATGATGCGTCCTGGTACAAAAGGCGGAGGCGCAAAAGAGCGTTTATTCCGATGCACTGGCATTGACATTCGACGAGCACTTGTAGCCGATGCCGGCACAGGCTTTACAATTGAAGGTGGAACAACTGAACGGCCTAGCTCTTTCCAAGCATTCGGAATTGTGTCATAGAGATGGCGCTCCAATTGATTGCAATGCAAAACGGTTATCGGGTCAGCGTAGTAAAATGAGCCGTATTTCTTCGTTATGTTGTTGATATACTGTTCAGCTTCCTGCAGATTTATAAACAGGGTGCAAAACGTGTTAGTTTCAAGACAATCGATTTTAAAAAAAACGATTAAAAAAGTCAATTAAACAAACAAGAAGAGATAATAATTAGGAGCCAATCATCATTTCAACCAGTAAACTCAAGAATTCTCACCTTTAGTGCGTTATTAAACGCATTTTTGTGATTGCCAACGGCGAGGCTAGGACACTGTTGCGAGTACAGTAGACAATCTTTGGCCGGTAGAATGGCTCGAAGATGATTTTCACAGAAATACAACACATCAACTGTGTGCTCCATACTATTGTATCGAATCAGCTTTGCGGGCCAATGTGGGTATGTCCTTTGTTTTGCCCAAACCAAAAGATGCGGTATGGAACATGGAGCCGTAAAGTCATTATCGTTGAGGTAACACTCATGGCACATTCGAATGCTGTACGTTTCCTCTTTGGCGGTATTGAATAACAACCTTGCCGCTCGGATTGTTTCGTAGTCAGCTGAAAATGCGAATGGTTTGCGGTTATTTCAAAATTTTTCAGTTTTTTGCAACAATTTCTAAGCATTTGTGAACTAAATTGGGTGTTCCACTCAGTGAAGATATGAAAATGTACGGAATGAATGTCAACCCAATGTGTTGAACATAACCTAACATTTTCGTACTTGAGTGCATTGCATGAAAAACCTGCGCTTTGAAAGCATATTCTGGCTAAGTTAGCGTCATTCGATGCTCATAAAAATCTCCATTCCAATGACATTTTCATAACAATAAAGTGTTCATTTGTCCAAATGCTGTGTTCATGTAACTCACCTGTGCTATGAATCTTTGTGTTATGCACGATCCATTTGATGTCTGACCAAAAATCCTCACAACAACTGTACGCACCAATTTCAATCTTTCTTTCCATCGTGTTCAAATCCATTGTATTCACAACCGTTCCTCTGGGATATTCGATGCTCATAAATGGTTTGGCGAACTAAAATCAAAATGTAATCAATGTAAGTGTGTTGGTTCAAGTTTCGCATTTTTTTTTTGAACGAATTTTATCGACTAGAAAATTTAGGTGAAAATGTCACTTACAGTTCGATCATCTGTGATTAGCTTTTGAAAGATGTAATTCAACACCTTTTTTAACTGGGCCGCAGTGATATTCCTGTAAATCAGTGAGAAAATGTCAGTTTCATCAATCAAATTGGACCTTTTTTTTAGTATTTTTTCAGGAGGTTAATGTGAGGTTTTTATTCGACAAGAGAACCAATATATCGTTGAAAAGAAGTATAAAAAACTTTATGCATCATTCTTTGAAAATGAAGTAAATATCTTACTCGGTCTTATTTTGTTCGGCTCCTTTTTCGATGTCCAAACACTCGTGACAACGCCACGTCATGAGCTCCTCCTGGGATAAACCTTTGGCACGTGAACACGATGATGACTCGTGAAACGATCGCACACACGTGGTGCAGAATTGCTCTGTGTCATCGCGATGGCATGTCCAACAGTAATTGTCCGCTTCGGGCTGCGAAAGAAATAAACTCTGTTTGGTGAGGCCAGTCAAAAAGCAACGAATAAACTTGTTCCAAATGTCAGAATATCAAATTCTTTTTTATTTTGAAGGAAATTCTTGATTCTTGGCCATCATGTCTACGGAAAATTTAACCAGTGAATGAATTGAAGTTGAAAGCGATGAATTGATATTAGTGAGATCGAAAGATTGAACGAAGTGAATCGAATAAAAATGCTCAAATATCTATGGAAAATATTCTCTTTAAAAGAAATTGCCTTAGCCTAACCTTTTGTCTAAACCTTCTGAACAAAAGTATCGTTCTATAAACCTCGTAACATTGCCTTTAACAACGAAACCGATTCTGATGCTCAAGTTTTATCTCTTTTCAAAAAACGGTACCTTGGCTTTGGTGGCCAGAACCAAAATGGTTTCACGCACTAATTTTGAGTCGCTGTTCACACGTTGAGTCACATCTTTCGTGTGTCGCCAGTATAAAGCAATGCAAAGTGTGTGTGTGTGTGTGTGTGTGTGTGCGTGTGCGTGTGTGTATGTGTGACACGAATGTTCCGTTCGAAATTTCTGCTGACTATGCAAACAATCTCGATATTATAAACATTCTCATCTCAACGACGCACATTTTTTTGCGTGTCGAACGACTGTGTGGTCGACTCTATCTCTTCAATGATAATGTTACATTTTTCCCTACTCAATTATTTCTGGCACCAAATTATTCCGAAACGACAGCAAATCACACAGTCTATGGGTCAGAGTGTAGAATCGTCAACTCTTGAATCAACTCCAATAATTGTAAAAACTCACGAAGAAAATTGAGCATTTCGATTTCTAGTACAAATGATGAAAAAAAAATATGTGCAAAAACAATTATTGCTGTGTTGACTTTTCAGCACACTGAAATTCATCCTCGCCATTTTGAATGTGTGGATTGAATTTCTTCGACTTTTTTCTTCCGCGAAATGAATTGTGATGAAAAAAAAAATTCAGAATGGAATGAAAAGTACCTGTTTTCGGTGCCGACCTGAACCACCAAATGGCTGCATGATTATGCCTGTCTCTGCTTTGCACGGGTTTTGCTGCGATAGAATGAGACAAAAAAAACCACCCAATTAAAATGTGAAAGTAATGCGGTGATGGTGCAATTTCAATGCGCAATAGACGCATATATTTCATACAGCGAATATCGTCGTTCAATCACTTAAAAATCTAATAAAACTAAACAATTACCTTTGAATAATAGCAATTTTCAGCAAAATGAATTTAATTTTTCTCGATAATTTCTTTTTCTTCCAAATATAGATCACGCTATTTATGCGTATGGTTTTTTTTTCCTACGCTTTGCACATAAATACGTCCGATCGCATAAGAAGCTCTGCTTTGACTATCGATATAGCGCGTAACACACAGATCAACAGCAACACAAACACACCGAAGCCGAATGAGTGTGACATCACAGCGCGTCGCAATATTCCAACACAGTTGCACATGTTTGAATGGTGTGGTGTGACTCTTCACTATACACGACTAAAACGAAGTTTGACTGTACCAAGTTCGCGCCCGAACATCGGCGCCAACAAATGTCACTTGTTGCTATGCATCTGTCACAGGACGCACTTTTTGGTCACATATTTTCTAAATTCAAGTTATTCTGTTCATATGAACTTTGGAACATGTTTTTACTCCAAATTTTTTTTGAATTGGATGATACAGATTATCTTCTCCTCGGATAATTCTGAAGAATTTTCTTTTTATTTCTTTGGCTCTCTGGATTTTTAGAACGTCGGCATTTGATACAATCATTTGACGATATGGGATTTAACCAAAGATTCTGGCACAATTCCATTTATGCACGCAAAAATGACGATCTTTGAACTATACAGGGCTCATGTGGTCACTATTTGCATTGCTGAAACCTTGCACCTTATTTTTGTTCAAGATTTTTTTTATTGAGCTATTTATTTAACCAAATCGGTATTTTCCACCTCACCCCTTCTTTCTCTTTGGTTCACTTGAACACATTTGAAGACAAAAAACGAATTTTTGGTTGAGCAATGGAATTATGGACGATTACTACGTAGCAATAATCATTGCTATAAGTTCACCTGCCGTCGGTGTTCGCTGGACATTGTGCAACTTCATTTGAAAAGTGAGGAAATCTGGTGCTGTTACTTTTGACATATGCCAATTGACGTATACAATAATTTTATCGCTTAATCAAATGATTCAATACCAATCAGTACCTTAATCCCTTGGTGACAGCTCACGAAAGACACCAAACAATTGGTAAAAAAATCCAATCGATTGACTGCTAATTAAATTGAGTACAGAAGCACACTTACATGTTTCTCCAATGAATCATGAGCCATCGAGACTCCAATGAATCATTAGCCATTGAGAGGCTTTTCAGTACTATTTTCAGTAGGTTCATTAGTAGTTTTTTTTAGTAGATATTCATCCTATTTTCATTTTCGGTCTAATAATCAATGCGACAAGGGAATTTGGTTCAAAACTGTGAGAAACTCGTAAAAAAAATTTACAGACTCATTCCAATTCCTTCTCGATTCGGATAGAGCAAAATCCAAAACAAACACTCTTTTCGAAAAGTGATTTTCAGTAACCAGTTTATTGACGAATTTTTGATCAATCTAGATCAGTTAAATAGCTTGATGTATTTGTAAGCTTAAGTAATTTACTGTCACACTTCGTTATCCATGTAACTTACAATGTTAGTTGTTTAACAATTTTGATTGATTGGATTCAACATTTATGGTTATTTTTTTCTAATTTGATGGATTGTGATGATTTAAATCGTCAGACAAATGTTTCTAAACACTTGATAGCCAAAAATGAATTTTAATGATTTAAAATTAACGTTGAATATTGTAATTTTTATCTTAACTGATCACTGATCAGAAATAGTTAAAGTAAATTCGTAGATCGAACTATCGTCGAACTAAATTAACGTCGTATTTGTTCGATTCAGATCATCTTGAAGATGGTTAAGATGGCAGTTCATGTTGAAGATGCGGGATTCTCGGTAGAAAAACTCGAGTCTTTCGCGAGATTAATTGCGCTGTTGTTGCCTGCAATAGACAAAAGATCGAATGTGAGGATCGAAAAATAAGTAAATTTTATTAAATAAATAAAAAATAAATCAAACTCCTCTTCAACTCAATACCAATAATAATCCTCGCACTGCGGGCTACAGTAGAACCGTCCGCCTGGCATTCCGCACGTAGCGCACCATTGCTTCTTCTTCGTTTCGGCAATCATTTTGACGCATTCTTCGTAGGTTTTGGCCTTTGCAACATCGAATTTGTTCGTTTCCTCTTTAATTTGATCGCGTTGAATTTTATTGTCCAGCGTCATATTTTCCAATTGCGTTTTGAGTTTTTCCGTTGATTCCATCAATGCTTTGTTTGCGCCAGCCAAATAAGAATTGTTCTCTTCGGCGCTTTTCAAATTGTTGGCTTGTTCGACGTTGATTTCCTGTAATTTGGCCACAGTCGATGCTAATTGTGTGTTTTTCGTTGACAATGCATTCAGGTTACAGTTGAGATTGGCATTTTTAGCCAGTTCACACTTCAAATCACCAATCAACTTTTCATTTTCGCCTTTCAATTTGGTCAAACTTTGGATGAATTCATTGTTCTGTTTGATCATTTGATTGTTCTTGCTGATGAGAGTCTCATGCTGGCCTTTCAACGCTTTCAACTGATCCTGCAGCATTTGAATTTGTTGCGCTGGATTGGCGGCTTCCATGAAATCGGCAAATGAGGATTCGAACGATGATCGAATGCATTCGGATACTTTGCGTGTGTTTTTCTCAATCATTGCATTGCACAAAGCAACCATTTCCGGGGCATGGCTTTGAAAGATCTTTGGCAGTGGTGGCGACATCAATTTGGCATCATCATTGGGCGGAAAATCAAAATCGTCCATGGTATCATGTTGTTCAAGTGATGACAGCATTTCTTTTTTCACTTGTAGTTCGACTGACGATGGAACCTCGTTCAATGATGGACGTGGAAGAGTTGGCATTTTGGCAATCGGTTTGCCAACGAATGGAATGTCAGCAATGGGAATGTATGTGCATGGCTTGACTGATGACTTTCGAACACATGGCAGTGTTGGCAACTTGAAAACACGGTTTTTTTTAACTGAAGTCGCTAGGCTCGTTGGACTGTTTTGCACAGACAATTTGCTGGCTGTACCAAACTGGGTTGATACTTTAGTCTGATGGCCCGTTGTATCTTTCTTTGTACCTTCGGTTTTCGGTACGTCAGATTCATTGGAGACTTTTCGCTTCTTAGCTAAACTTACCAATGGATTCGGTCGATTTGTCGATGAAAAATTTGATATACCCTCAATTTTTCCTCCAACAAATGAAAAACCACACAAAGCACTCTTAGCTTTTTGCTGATTGAGAAATTTCGACGTGGAAAATGTTGCGGTAGCCTTGGGCACTGGCTGAATTTTAAGCTTAAGTGTTTTTGTATCATTCGATTGCTGGTCAAATGCTTTGTATTCTGTGTCATCTTCGAAGACGGAAGGACATATTGCGTCAATCGCTACTGACATTCGTCGTGTCAAAATACCACCAAAGATTGGTACAGGCATATTTGGTGCAGATTTTCGTGTCACAACTGTCTTTCGCCGTGTGTTTGTTGATCGGGCTGGCTTCGGTGGAATTTCCGGTGGAACAATTGGATTTTTCCATGCATTCGGAACCATTTCATACAAATGACGGTCCAAATGTTGCTCATTCAACATCAAATTCGTGCTGTTGGCAAAATGAAACGATCCAAATTTCATGATGATGTTTTGAATGTAGATTTTTGCCTCCTGTGGGAACGAAGAAAAAGTTTGAATGAAGGAATTTTTTGGGTTTTGAACAGACATCCTCATGTCAAATGCTGAAATCGCCACCTGACTGATTATTACATCAAATCATAATTGATAAAATGAAATGTGTGTCTTCGAACAGCACTTACATCGACGGCCTTTTTAAACTTCTCTTTGAGTAAACCAATGTTTGTACTGGGGCACGTTTCCGAATAGATGCAACAGTCTTTGGGTGTAAGAACAATTCGCTTGTGATCACCGAAAAATTGCACATCCACCGTGTGCTTAGCAACATCGACGGCCATAAGCTTTGCTGGCCAATGGGGGAATCCCTTTTGCTTGGCCCAAATCAGAATGTGCGGCATCGTGCACGGCTTTGTAAACCAGTCGTCACGCTTTTGATTGGCATTCCAATAGCATTCGTGGCACAATCGAATGGTGTAAAGTTCATCTTTTGTGAATTTTAACAACCATTTTGTGGCTTTGACGGCCAATTCATCGCCTGAGAAATAAAATAGAAAAATTTTGTTAGAAAATTGGATGAAAAGACCTTACAAAATTGAAAAACTTGACTAAAAAAGCCTCAAAACGGAATCAGTATTTTTTGTTCAATATTTTTGAGGTTAAGTTTTTGAGGTCACAGAAGATTCTATGCTGAGACTTGAAGCTTGAGGCTTGAAGTTTAAGACATAAGACTAGAACATTGAGCTCATTCAAATCTTTCTTTTCTCTATTTTTTAATCTTTTGTTCTTTTTTCCGCGCTTTTCAGATTTCTCTCTCTTTTGCCATGTTTGTCATACCTTAGCCTGCATTTTCCACTCACCTGAACGATGAACCTTCGTGTTGTGCACGATCCACTTGATATCAGACCAAAAGTCTTCGATGCAAATGTATTCACCACCCTCCGTCTTTTCTCCGATTTTCGTCAGATCCAACGGATTGAACACCTTTCCCTTTGTGTCATAGTATAACACATCCAAGAACCGGACAGCTAACTGAAAGAGAAACCATTCAGTTTATTATTATCGTTCAAAAAAAATGCATTTTTTAGGAAGAAAATTACGTATAATTCGATTTAAATGTTTGCTTTATTGGAATAAAATGGTTTTCTTCCGAAAAAAATGACCACTTTTTGCAATTTATGTTGAGTTACTTACATATTCATCAGCTTGAAGCAGATCAGCGACGCATTTCAGAAGCTCATTCAAGCGTGTCAGTTGCATTCCACTGCAAAATGGACATTGAGACGTGCATTTAATGTGATAAAGCAGAATGAAGCGTTCTTTTTTTTATTTCAAGGAAGAATTTTGAGTCATTCCATAAAGCAAAACAGATCAAAACGAAGCAAAGCAAAACAGAGCAAAAGCAGTCTTCATGACATGAAATTCATGTCACACGACCTGAATGACCGCAATTGTTCTCGGTCAAACTTGAAATCAATTTAACACTGAAATCAAATGTTAAACACAATACCATTCGATTCGTTTACCTTGATTGCATTTGATCGACGTCCTTCTCCAATTCAATGCAATCTGGGCATCGCCAAATTCCCATAGCTTCGGCGTTCATCTTTTTGGCGCGCGAACATGCCGGTGAGATGTGAAATGATCGCACACACTCCGAACAGAAGAGCTCGGGCTCATCGCGATGACACGACCAACAAAAGGCATCTGATTCACGCTGTAAATGTGATGTGAAAAATCCATAACAAAAATTATAATTGATACGATAACAAGGGATACTTAAAGCGAAATTCGACTGGTGAATACCAAAAAAAAAATGATGGAAATGAAATTCATTGAACTGTGATTCGAAGTCTTTGAAAAGAAGAAAATTATTTGACGCAACGGGTTCAGAAAACGTTGGCATATTTTGTGTTTTGTTTGCTTGTAAATCAGTCGATTACGTGGTTCTATAGAATGTGAATTCTGAACAAATATCGGGCACTCAAGCCGGTATCATAAGAATTTAATTGTTGACATTCGACCACTGCCACTGTTTGACAGCCGATATGCAACTAACAATGGCTTTGTTATTGCAATGTGTGTTGACATTTCTGTGTATGTGTTTGGATTTTTTGATAACGATGCCTTCCTTATGAGAGAGAACAAAACATCGTTCACACACTGACTTTTTTTGATGCAGGAAAGAAATGAGTTTAATTCTAGCAAAAAGAAACATATGAAATTGAAATATGAACTAGAGTCGTCGTGTCGATGTGAAAAAAAAACACAATTTTTCGAGCGGTTAAAATATGTGTCGACATGAAAAGTGTTCAATTTAAAAACGCTTAAATAATGAAAAACAACGCAAAACTTATGTTTGTTCCTTAAATCAAGAAACTCAACGAACAGACACACTATTTGAGCTACATACGGAAAAATGCTTGACAAACCGGCACAAATCGGAGAAAAATGTAGAAAATGTCGATATAAAATAAAAGAAATTACCTTTTGGCCGAATTGTATATCGCCCAGTGCTTCCATTTTTATTGTTTTCGTATTTTTGTCTTGCAAAATGGTCGAAATTGTACGACAAATCACTAATTACGCACAAAAAATTGGACAAAATGTAAAAAGTGAATGTCTGAATTCACACTATTCTTTTGTTATGTTTGCACTAAAACCATGTGTTTCAGCTCATTCGTTTTTTTGTTGCTATTTTTTTTACTTAAAAATACTATAAAATATGGAATTGCATTAAAAACTCTTTTTTTGTGTGGATAAAAGTGAATGTTTTTGTACAAATAAAGTTGATTGGTTTAAAAATTTACACAAAAATCGAATTTCTATTCGAAAATGGTGGAAATGAACACTTTTTTTTCTTCTAAAAGTAAAATTTGAGAATTAAAATGAGTCGCAATGAAAAACTGCGCGTTTTGTTGTGCCAATAACGATGCTCACACAGCTGATTGAATCAGGCGATATTTGACAACTGTATAAAACAACGACAGCGACGGTGGTCCGCTGTCGATGCAAAGGGCTCAATCGCCCATGTAAGTGTGACGAATGCCACATCTTTGATTGATTGCGCGTGTATTAGTGAATGCTATTATGGTGCGAAGATGCGAGACACGGTGTTCGGTTGGAAAATTGCGTCTCTCATTTGCATTTATGCAGAGTGTGATCGGCTACGGGAAGGAAGGGAGAGAGCGAGAAAGCATGGCCATTTATGTACAACAAATACAAACTGGAGCATTAGAGCAGTTGAGCGTGAGCAAAGCCGAATGTTCAATGCAATATAAACCACTCGATACATTGGTATTGAATATTTTTTTTTTTTGGATACGTTCAAAGTGATGGAGTTCATGATATGGAAAATCAAAAGCATACTTTTGGGCGACATTTTTTTTTGAATTGAATCAGTCTTTGAATTTGTTCTTCGATTTTCATATGAAAATTTTGAAATGACAGGCATTTTTTAACCAGTTAAGCAACACATTTAAATGCCAATTTTGGCCAATTTGTCATCAACGTTTAATAAATATCTCAATTTTCTATGTCGAAAAATAGAAAAAAAGGAAGAAAAAAATTGAAATATCTTCATCAACGACTTGATAGAGTTCAAGGTGTAAAGAAGGGTAATTGCTTTGAGACCGATGTCAAAGACCGCCTTTGATGATTTTTTTTAATTTTTGGCATCGAACTATTCCACCGCACTAATTTTAAACCTGCACAGCTGATATCAAAAATATATGACAATACGTACAAGCTTCATATCGATCGGGTAGGTATGCACACCGAATCCATCCAGTGGAATAACTATTGTTCATTGTGACATAAAGCACATCAGCCATCGGAGTATGAGAGTGAACCTTAAAAATAGCTTCAAATAACCAGTGAAAACAGCTTGGGCTCACATAGCACGTTACACTACTTATCAAAAGTATGCGATTGATTTGTGGGAAAACCTATGCGCGTTTTTGTAGAAAAAACTCCATTCATATTTTATGGAATGGGCAGTGGCCAGAGTAATGAATTATACGAATTTAAGCCATCCATGCCCTTATACCGAAAGTATTGGCATCAAAATCAACAACATTTTCATCGATGAAATCCAAATAGAACCGTTGATGCCAGTTGGACGGTATCGAGTCGATATCAACCTCACTAAAATATCACACACTTACGACCCCAAATACGTTTATGGTGTGTAGTACACACTGTGTACAAATTGTGCGGATCGGTTTCGGATTTACTAGTATGGTTGGGTTAACTCAATGAAGAATAAAATGGAATTCGATTCAAGGAATAAATGCGTTCTATATTTAAAAAAAAGCCGTGTTTTTCTATATTGACGGCATAAAATTCTTTTGTTATTACTATCAACTTGCTAGCAGAGAGTGAATTTTCTCTGCTGAGCAGGCCTGAGCTGAGCTGAATTTGCTGACTCATTAACGGATTCATGGTGCCGAATTTCCATTGCTAGCAATGTTTATCAATTTTTTAAGGTAAATCTCTGCTAGCAATAAAATTTTTGCACCGTGAACGCGTTAAAATATTGCTTCAGGCGCCCGAGTCATCAAATTCAGCTCAGCTCAGGCCCGCTTAACAGCAAAGATACATTCTCTACTTGATGGCATAAGTTTTGAAATCAAATATATAGCTCTGATATTTAAAATTTAAATTCATTTTCTCTAACATTTCACTGAGAAAAAACCAAAAAAAGAGTGTTTTTCTCCGAAAAAATAGCCACTAATGCGGTTTGTCTTTGATTTTACATTATTTCGAACACATTTCATGTACACCGTCGCGCTTATTATTAGAACTGAAGCAATTTAATTACAGACAATACAATTTTAATTACATTCAATTGAGATTTTGAACCTTTCTTCCATAAATTTTCCAAATTTTTCGAAGCGTTCATCGGTTAATTTACATTATCTTCCGAAATCATCTCATTATAATGCGACGATAATTATCATCAAATTTTCTCGTCTATCAGCAATTAAATCAACGGTAATTTAGCTCATTTTCAAACTCGACCAATGGAAGTTATGCTTGAAGTTATTTTTTGAACAATTGAAAGTATTGAAATGTCAAAAAAAAACAAAGTCAAAGGTAAAAAATGGAATGAAAGGTCAGAAAAAATAACAATTTGAACGTTACGTATTTATTGCTGCGTGCGTTTCGTTGATGGTTCAGTTGATTTTTAGAGTTGAACAAAACGGGGTGCTTTTTTGAAGAGAGACCAATTTGTTTGGAAAACTTTCGAAGTTGAACATTTTGCAAGATTTTTCAAAAAATTTCGAAAAATTTCTGAATTTTCGTCAAACTTTCGACAATCGTTTTCAATTTTTTTTTGTAAAACTTTCAAGACCTTTTCAATAAAAAAAATTCCTTTAAAATAATAAAAATCCACAAAAATGTCACTTTGGTCAACAACCAACAAGTATTTGATGATAATTGGCATCAAACCATTGCCACAGAAGTATTTTCCATCGCAAAACTTTCACGTGTTTTTCAACACCATTCATATTATATTCGCAATCGTTACCTTTTCGACCTACGCCATTTCAATTATGTGCTTTTTGCTATTTAAAGCCGTGAGTTTTACTCAGTTCTCCGAAGCGGGAATGTTTTGCATGGTCGCATTTTTGCACCTTTCATTTTATACCATTTCCGTTTCGAAGCGAGAAAACATATTCAGTTTCATGGAAAGCCTTGAGAACGTCATTGCGATGAGTAAGTATTCACTGAACACTGTTTAGGAAAAAATTTCATTTTTTGAGTAATGAAATTGATTTTGATTGCATTTAAATAAAATCCCTAATTTTGATTCATTTTCATCCACTTTTCTTGATTGAATCATGTATAAAACATTGTGATGTAGGAAGCAAGCATAGAGCCATTTACACTCGGGCCAATAAAATAGCCGAGATGTTTGGGAAGTATCTGTGGAATTCAATGATGGTATCAGGGCAATTGTTCGTTTTTCCCAGCGTATTCTTTTCCTATTACAAGTACTATGTGTTACAACAGGCCGACAGATCATTTCAACAAATCTTTCCGGCTTCGTAAGTAAATTTAAGAAATAAATTGAGACCGGTCATATTTTCCCTGGTCATAGCTTCACCCATACAAAGTGGATGGAAAATTTATGGCCGAAATATAGGGAAAAACAGAGTTTGACTCAGGCGACAGATATATGCTTTAGCATAGAAAAAATATCCGCATATTTTTTGGTTTGTCCACTCTCAGTATATAACGGCACCCAGCTAGAGGTGTCAACGGACAAAATTTTGTCCGTTCGTCCGTCCGAACATTTCTTGAAAAAATTCGGACGTCCGGTCCGAATGTCCGAAAACCAAACAATTTTTTCGGACGTCCGGTCCGAATGTCCGAATTTTTTTTCGGACGGACGGACGGACAAGGGGTTTGTCCGAACTTTTCAAATTTTTTCGGACGTCCGAAAATTATACGGACGTCCGAAAAAAATTCAAAGCCAAAAAAAATATTCGAGCCAAAAAAAAATTCAAAAGAAAATATATTAGTTTGTATATTAGTTGGTTTACACTTTTTGGTAAACGTTTTTACGTTGGTTGTTGCACTTTGAAACTAAAATATTCTGAGGGAATTTGTTTGTCGCAACGGATCAATTGTGGGATTAGAAAGAAATCATTGGAGCCGAGAAAATTTTCTTTTGAATTTTTTTTTGGCTCGAATATTTTTTTTTTGGCTTTGAATTTTTTTCGGACGTCCGTAAAATTTTCGGACGTCCGAAAAAATTTGAAAAGTTCGGACAAACCCCTTGTCCGTCCGTCCGTCCGAAAAAAAAATTCGGACATTCGGACCGGACGTCCGAAATTTTTTTTTGGTTTTCGGACATTCGGACCGGACGTCCGAAAAAAAAATTCGGTTTTCGGACATTCGGGCCGGACGTCCGAATTTTTTTTTCGGTTTTCGGACGGACGGACACTATTGTCCGAATTTTTGTCCGTGTCCGTTGACATCTCTACACCCAGCTTCATCGAGTATCAGCACGCACACTGAAGGTGTTAGTATAGGACGGTTTGTTTACGAAGAAAAAAATTGTTTATAAACAAAATCTACCAGAACTATACAGCGCAAAACCTTAACATAGGACATCATTGCTGCCGTTTAAATACATTGCGCTGTACAACTCTGGAAAATTTTGTTTATAAACAATTTTTTTTCTTTGTAAACAAACCGTTCTATAATCTATATTAATACGTTCAGTGTGCGTGCTGATACTCGATGAAGCTGGGTGCCGTTATATACTGAGAGTGGACAAACTAAAAAATATGCGGATATTTTTTCTATGCTAAAGCATATATCTGTCGCCTGAGTCAAACTCTGGGGAAAAATAATAATCTTATTTCAAGTTTGGACATAACTTCACCATTGAAAGTATTTTTAATTCGAGAAAATATTGCCAAAAATGTTTTTTGTTTTCATCCATAGATTTCCGTGGAATTGGAAGACGCCAATGGGATTTTTCGCAGCACAATGTCTACAGTCCTATTGGATCCATTGTGTTCTTCTAATGATCATCGGCACCATATCGTTGTTCGCCAAATTCTTCACTCTCTTGGGAGCACTTGCCATTGACACTGTTCAAATATTGGAAGAATTCACAGATGCATTCAACAAAGCGCGTCAAGATTTAACCAGCGAGAAACGCTTTCGAATGAAAGAAAAGCTCATTGAAATTATTCAGTTCCATGCTGCTGCTAGAAGGTAGAGATATTGGCGATCAGGGTCGAGATTTGTTTTGGAGTAGAAGATTTCTTTTTTTGAAATGTTTTGAACGTTTACTTTTTACGTGGAAAAGGACGTGTAAAGGCTTTATACCATTTGAATGGGCAAGCGGAATAATGAAACGTAATTCTGTTTTTAAATGAAGTGCCTCTGAGAAAAATTTTCAGTAAAAAAGCCCCACAAAAATATTGTCTGAATAAGATTTTCATACAAATTTTTATCAGACAATATTTTTGTGGGGCTTTTTTACTGAAAATTTTTCTCAGAGGCACTTCATTTGAAAACAGAATTACGTTTCATTATTCCGCTTGCCCATTCATTTGTGCTTTTTGCAATAATATAGAGCCTCAATAGTACTGAAGTACAGTGTATTTGAGTCCGTACCTTCTCCACTACTGCTTGAAAGCACAATGGTATAAAAATCTGCAAGAATTTACGCTTCGTTCTTTCCATTTTTTTCTGTTTCCGGCAGAAATAAATTTTCTGCAATTCCATTTTCAATTTTCTTTTTCTTTCTATGCATAGAAAATATGTATAGCACCATTTTAACTCGAATTCGAGAAATTTTCTAATGACTTTTTGTGACTTTTACGTTTTACTATGCAAATTTTGTTTGATTCTTTTCAATTTTATTCACTCCGTAGATTTATTAAGCTATTTTTGGACTGCTTCAGTACCATTCTGACCGCTTACTTTGGGTTATTGCTCATAATTCTTTGTACCACTCTTTTAGGCTTGAATGCGGTAAGGTCATTTCTTGGACAGATGATTAGTTGAAAATTCAGAGAAAAAAAATAATACAAATGAACTTTTCAATCATTTTAACAGGCACTTTACGTCGGAATTATCGATTTTGTTCGTTTGTTTATCTGTTTACTAATTACAATGACTTACATTTCGGTGTTGTGCATGTTTGGCAATGAGACAACGACACGATTCGAAGAGATTCACCAGACACTTTGTAAATGTCCATGGAATGAATTTCCGTTGGAAATGCAAAAATTACTGCCGATTGTGCTTATGGTTGCTGAAAAACCAATTTATTTGAAGGGATATATGTCGGTCAAGTGTACTCGCGAGTTCATGAAAACGGTAATCGATACAGCAAAAGGAGTGAAATTTTAGCATTTAAACTAAATGTTTTTGTTTTTAGACAACAAACAATGGATTTTCATACTTCATGATGTTGCGCCAGTTTAATCGCTAAATGCAGTTATTAAACACGGAAATATGATTTTAAAAACATTATAGATATGTTTTTGAGGAAGAAAATGATTCAAGTTTTTCTTTCGACAGCTAAGCGATTGTTTCTGTCATAACGCATCTAATCGAACCGAACACTATTTTAAATCACTTTATGGCTATCGCACTCTGAATAAAAGAACAATCAAACTGACACAACCAAATTGTTTGCTGTCAAACTTTGTCTCGTTCACACCAACTGTCACACTGACTTGTTCGTGTACGATTTGCTTAAAAGAAATGTTGTTCGCAGTAAACTCAGTTTAGATGTTCTTTAAATAAAAATGGTTTTTGTCGTTGAAACTATAATTTATTCCATTGGTAGTAAACTTTTTTCATTTTAAGCTTGTTAATTTGTCACTTTTCAAGTGGTTGATCCAAAATCAAGGCCAAAATTTCTAAAAATCTTTGCCAGGATTTTAAACCAAGTTGAGTTTTTAATGACATGGTCTTCATGAGCTTCTTCAAAATAAATTTCTTTTCAGCGAGGAGTATGCACTTTTCCTCCGTTTTAGCTCTGAGGCGGTTGCCATTGATTCACGTCCATAAATCTTATTGAAGTAAACGATAGATCAAATCTTATGAAAAAAAACGGCGAAAAATGACATTCAGTAAAGACCTTTATCATCTGATAAATCCTAGCAAAACAATGATATTGAAACATAAGCTCAGTCAGAAAGCAATAAAAATAATCTTATATATGTTTCATGCGTTCTATTCTCCTTCTACATCAATCAATTTTATTTGATTTCAATAAATTTGACATTCTAATTGGTCAAATTGTTACAACTTACCTAGAATAAATTAAACACATAAACAAAGCATTTCAAATATTGTACTGTGGTCAATAATTTGATTAAGACATCTATTGAACGAAGGGTTGTAACAGTGATATGATCGGCACATGAGCACCATCTCTACTGATTGTCATTATTGCCATGTAAATGAATAGAATGTCTACTTCTTCTTCTTTTTCTCAACATCAATTGCATACGACTTATGGTAACTCTCCGTAATCATTAGAGGTGGCGCTACTTATGCGCATCAATTGACTTTTGCATTGGCTCTTATGTACTGTGCGTGCCTTTTGCTATTGAAATAAGACCGGAATAAACATTCAATTTCCTTCTAAATTCGAAGTCAAAAGTTAATCCAATAAAAATATTCAAGGATTTTCTATGAATTTTCATTTTTATTCTTTATTTGCGTACTTGTGTTTCTGGTTTTTACAAACTTTGAAGAAAGATTTTGGGAGTTTAAATTTTTCGTCTAATTGGAACAAATCTAAGAATGGAAAATTCGTCATATTAAATTTGAAAATTAAAAAAAAAAATAAAAACAAGTGGAAACCTACTACAGTTGCTTTTTTTTATTTCTTATTATTTTCAGTGAGTTTTGTTCATGAAAATTAATTCGTGCACGCTAAATTCTACTTGGAAACATATGATTTGTGAATATTTTTTTGGTGTCGTTTAAGATTGAATTTTCCCGTGAAGCATCGTTGGCACAATTGGCAATGGAACGAATTTTGGTCGATATGTTTCACTCGCATGTGTGACAACAATTGCGTTCGATCATGTGTCATCAGGTTCCGACACAAATGGCATTCGTAACATCGGCTCTTGCACTTCAATTCATGCTGCTTCTTTTCCACTTCTTTTATGAAGTGACGAACACAAATAAAACATTGGAATTTTATCGGACGAGGATTTGTGTGGACTTTCGAATGAGCCTTTAGGATGTATCGCATTGTAAATCTCTTGGAGCAAAAGCTGCATCGGAATGGTCGATCGCCATTGTGCACACGCATGTGCATCTTCAACTTGGACTGAATCAGAGCAGAGAACTTCTTACACAAATGGCATTCGAAATGTCGCCCATTGCAAGCATTCTCGTGCACCAGTCTTTCGTCATTCTGTACGAATCTCTTGAGACAAACTGAACAACTGAACAGATATTCATCGGGGTGTGTTTTCAAATGTGTTTGAAGGTTGTACTGTCTTGTGAATCGTTTGTTACAAATGTTGCATGGAAAAGGTTTTTTGCCACTGTGTTTGACCATATGCCTCTTCAGATGGGCTGGATATTGTGCAACATATCCACATATTGAGCACTTATGCTGTTTCTTGGTCCTTTTGGCAGCCAACTGTTTCCTTTGTGCAGCACTGATCACCGTTTTGGCTCTACCCTTCAAATCAATGCCCTTTTTCTTCAACTTTCCATTCGATGACTTTGGCGTCACATCACTTTTGTTCGACTGTTGCTCCATCGCAGTATTTTCCGTCGATAAATCATTTTCACCTGATTGTTTGCCTCCTTCTGGTTTCATTTCAACTTTTATATCGTCTTCGGCTTCATGTTTGAGCTCCAGTTTGGCATGCGTTGAATACAAATCTTCAATATTCATCCCATCGTTGTCGTCGACAATGTTAGTGTTAATTGGTCCAAAATCATGCCTTGCAGTCGTTGTCATGTCAACATCATCCTCTGCACCCCATTCCACCTTAATGTTACCTTCTTGTTTCATTTCAATGGGAATCCATTCGTTATCTTCCACGCAACCAGCATTCGATTCGGCCTTTTTTCGACACTTCCAATTCGAACCGAAGTTGTTCATTGTGTGTTGTCAAAGTAAATACATTTTTTAGGTTATTGATGGTCTATGAAATTATTTGGTATCAAATTCTGTATTCATACAGAATATATATCATTCATGAGTTTTTTTTTTGTCACTTCGATGAAGCCAAATATTTTTAAATCTTTCAATCAAATAGACATTTTTTCTTGTGGAAAATTAGAAATAATGTAAAAAAAATCACCTTTTCTCCGCTTCAACACACCGTGACTTTCGATGTTGCAATGAAACACCCGACAAACTAGACTCTTTTGGCGTAGAAATCAGAAAATATCACAAATTTTTAACAAATTCTGATTTTTTACTCTTTCAACAGCACATAAAAATCGTAGATTATCCAAAATTTAGTTAAATTTGGATTGAAAAAGATTTTTAATTGGGGTAGAAAAACGTATGTATAACATTGGTCAAGCACACGAAAATGAGAGACTGTATTGTGGCTGTATCGGTGTATTTGATTTGAAGGTTGTGAGTGTGTGAGAGGAATGAGTCTGTGTGTGGAATATAGCACCATCGCGACGAGTCGTCGACGACTACTTCAAATCACAGTGGAACATTGAAAGAGAGCGATACTATCATTGAACGCACTCCACATTCCATTTGACATTTGGCGTTTGTCATTTGGTGCTCACATTTTTTCACACTGTTTTTATTCATACAGTTTTGGTCTTTGTTATTGCACAATTGTTTCGTTCTAGAAAAATCTCTTGACAAAATCGTAGTTTTTTTTTTGAGCTAATTGATCATAATCGTGGAACATGGCAAGTTCAAAAACAATCAACCTGAAGCGTACGCATGAAATGTTAAAGTATAATTCCAAATCGAGTGCATCGCAATCGACTGAACTGAGTTTGCTCAGATATAGTTTCATTCGGACACTCAAAATGGAAAAGGTGAGTGAATTTATGTGACTATCACACTCTGGTACACAATTGGAATAGGGTTTTTAGCGACGCAATTATGTGATATTGTTATGAAATTGCGATGGCTTTGTGTGAATTTTTTATTCGTCAAGCGAAAGTCTGTTTCCAATTTTCATTATGAGTGTTCGTTTTTAAGGTTGATAATCATTTTTGGTTTTTAGCAAGCCATCGAACTCTTTTTTGAGTGAACGATATCTAAATTTTGCTAAAATATTCAATATTAGCCTATATTTAGTTATTCATAATATGAATTGCATATCCAATTTTAGTTCAACATTCTCAACGACCCATTGATGTCATCGAATTTGATGGTGAACACGATCGGTCTACAAGGAATTTCCCGAAAAATTGACAGCTATGCCAATTGCGACGCATTTTTGGCCGATATTGATACGTTGGTTCACAGCTACACGGTGGCGTTTAACAGTAGGTTCAATCAATATAACTTCCATTGGAATGTGATAGCAATTAGATTTCGTTACTGAAGAAGAAAGAATTTCTTTTGTTCAATTGACTTTAGACTGTCTTCTGTGGAGTCAAGTGGTTTCAAAGTCATTCCATTGAATTATTACTTGACTGCATTTTCGACAAATTTCCACACAAGTTCGTCAACATTACAAAATCTTGTGGTTGCTTTCTACCGTGATTGGTGATCAATATTGAATTAATTTTCATATAAAATGCTAATTTGGCATTGGCAAATCATCTTTAATAATTACCGAATCCTACAAACACATTGAAAATTGCTCATTTCTAAATCGGTTCATTTGATTCCAGGCCAGCCCGCCGTCAAAGAAGTGATTTGTGCATTTTCCGAGCTGTGCCACCGTGACGTGAAAAGTATCCGCACCTGTTTTCAGTCAGCCAAAGCGACGTCTGGGAATGAACATATGGCGAACAATGACTTCAAGAGTGATCCCACACAAGCAGATGTTCCAGCCAAACGACGTGCTTGGCGTGGAAAACGAGACTCCGTTCGAGGCAAATACTCCAGCCCATTTGCTTCCAAAGCTATGTACAACCCACAAAACGCGCCGAATCAGCTGATTGCCACGGTTCCCGTTGAATTTAGAGGAAGCTCAGATAGTCAACACCTCGTTGCTTCGGATGAAAACCAACCAAATGGCAACAAAACCGATGAATTACCTGGAAATGTGCCAATATCCAAAATGAAATTGAATGAAGATACAAATGACACACCATTGCAAAGCATTGACGATGAATTGCGCCAAAAACGCAAGGCTAAAGAGAATGAACCGTTGGGAAGCGAGGAAAAAGCTTCACTCCGGCAAAGAAATCTGCAATGAACTCTGACCATGTTGAAAATTGATTTTAGATATTTTTGATCTTTCGAACATTCAATTGTTCTGTTCTTTTTCCATTCAACCTATGATTACTGCTCTGCAATCTAATTTAGATTCTCTCTTCCATTCAGCATTTTAGAATTCACGATTTCATGGACATTTTTTGGTCCTGATTTTAATATTAATTTAATTTGCGTCTAACATTAATATAATATGGAAATTTCGTCTTTTGTCTCAAATCACTTTTAATTTAAGAGTTCCTTCTATGTCCCTAAAAATGTCAAACAAATAAATTGGTAAAATAGGTCAATGCCCTATTCAAAATGACTAAAAATTGTGTTTTGGATTTTTATTTGATCAATTTTTTTTAAAAAATCATTGCAGATACAAAGCTACGCTCTTTTTCAATTCCAATGTATTTCAATTTTGAAGTTCGCTAGTGAACAGACCTGAATTCCATCGAAACGGTATGTTACGTACCGGATGTGGTTTTTATTTTCTGAAACGATCTTTATACATTTTTCAGTTTATTCCGGATATAAGGTTTGAGCAGAACCAATGAAAATCCCTTGTTTTCAGATCATAGCAACTAATTACATTCACGATGTAAAAAACATTCGTTGATTTCAGATTTTGTAATGTTTATTTATTGAACATTAAAGAAAGAAAAATCGTTGAAAGTTTAACAATATTGGACTATGTTATTATAGAAAAATCAGAGTTAAATTCGAACAAATCTACTTTAAATTGAGCCAAATTCAAGGTTGTCAATCATAATTGAGTGAATCAGTATGCAAATTGAGATTGAAACTGATTGTTTTCAACAAGATTGACTGTGAAGTTACAATGGAGTGGAGTGAAGTGTTGTTTTTTATTTTTTAAACACATTCAAATATGGTTGCGCTTCTGGTGTCGCGTAAGGTCGGTTTCCTGTGCGAAGCATTTGTTGCACATTTCACATCGAAATGGTTTGGCACCGGTATGATAGATTCGCATGTGTCTCATCAGATGTGATTTTTGACACGTTGAGTAGCTCTTGCACAAGTAACATTCGTAGCGTCGTCTTTTGCATTTCAGTTCATGCTGACTCTTTTCCATTTCCTTTGTGAAGTAACGGGCACAAACCATGCATTGGAATTTCACCGTGTGTGAAAAGCTGCATCGGAATGGTCGATCGCCAATATGCACACGCATGTGCACTTTCAAATGAGCCTCATATGAAGTAGAATACTCTTTGCACAAATGGCATTCGAAGCGTCGCCCATTGCAAACATCCTCGTGCACCAGTCTTTCGTCATTCTTTGCGAATACCCTGAGACAAATTGAACAACTGAACGGATATTCATCGGGGTGTGTTTTCAAATGTGCTTGAACGTGCGGTTTTTGTGAGAATTGTTTGTTACAAATGTTGCATGGAAAAGGTTTCTCGCCAGTGTGTTTGAGCATATGCCTCTTCAAATAGGATGGAAATGTTGCAACATATCCACATGTTGAGCACTTGTGCTGTTTCTTGGTCCTCTTTACCGCTGACTGTTTTCTATGCGCAGCATTGATTACCGCCTTAGCTCTACCCGTCACATCAATGCTCTTTTTCTTCGAACTTCCATTCGATGACCGTGGCACCGCATCACCTTTTTTCGACTGTCCTTCCGTTTCACAGTTTCCATTTTCTTTCGATGTGTCATTTTTATCTGATCGTTTGCCTTCCTTTGACTTCGGTTCAACTTTGATATCGGCTTCAGCTTCAGCTTTAAATTCCGTTGAATACCAATCTTCGATATTCGACTCATTGTTTGCTCTATCGACTCCGAGTTCAACTGTTGAACCACGGTAACGCTGTCGTGGCATGGGCATCGCAAGTGGTTCATCGTGATCTTCTGGTTCCACTTTGATCATAGGCTCTTGTTTAACTTCGACGACTACGACTGCTGCGGCGTTCATATCAGTAAACGTCCCATCATCGATTGCAGTGTCCATCGACTCATTCTTCGGCTGAACTTCGCTATTCAAGACAAAATCATCCATTGTATGAACAGATACTGGAGATTGAAATAAACGGACCAAAAAATTAATGAAAATGAAAAGAATTTTATGATGCAAAAGGGAATTT